CTATTTAAGCAAAGGTTGGGCTGATTTATACAAATGTATTTGAATTATTTTTGATGTAATGTATATAACTGCTATATTCGGTACGAATATATTGGGATGTTATTTATAACTTATAAATGAAACTATTTAAGTAAAGGTTGGGCTGATTTGTACAAATATACTTGAATTGATTTTGAAGTAGTGTATACAAATGCTATGTTTGGTACAAATATATTGGGATGTTATTTATAACTTATGAATGAAACTATTTAAATAAAGGTTGGGATGATTTTTATAAATGTATTTGAATTATTTTTGAAGTAGTGTATGTAATTGCTATAATTAGTACGAATATATTGGGATGTTATTTATAACTTTTGAATAAAACTATTTAAGTAAAGGTTGTGATGATTTGTACAAATATATTTGCAAAAAGATACAAGTTCCAGAAAAATTAGAACAACGTTTAGATAACACTTCAATTATTTGTTAAGTCGTATTTAGATAACACTTGAATTATTTTTGTAGTGTGGATGCAACTATTCTGTTTGATACGAATTTATTAGGATGTTATGTATAACTTAGGCATGCAACTATGAAATTATAGGTTTGGATGGTTTCTACAAATAAATTTGTATCAGCCTGTTTAAGTTAAAAAAGTTATGTTGTAAAACAATTTTACTTGAATTGATGAGTTGACTTAAAAGGAATCATTAAAATCAGGAGCAATAAACGGTATTATATGCCAAATGTATTGTGTTAATACGTCAATGCATTGCCTCATTTTAAATAGGTCAATCACCTGCATTTGATCATCGAAAGAAAATATCTAATTTCAATAGTCCGTCAACTATTACATTTCCAAATATACTAAAATATACTCCCTCTGTCCCAAAAAAGATGTCATACTTTCCTTTTTAGTCTGTCCCAAAATTATTGTCACTTTCCTTTTTCAAACAATATATTTTACATCTTTCCATTTATGTCATTTCAGTTTAAAATTTTAAACTTCAATATTCAAAATTTAAAAGGGAAAATTAGTAACTTTCCAAGGAGACAATGCATGTCCCATATGTCCCCTTAAAAATTCCAACTCCCCAAAAGTGACAACTAAACTGGGACGGAGGGAATACATACCATATAAAACAACTTGCGCAAATTCTAAAAGGCTACAAGTATGCAGATGTAAATGAACAATATCATAAAATTAAAGTCAAATACATATTGGAATGACTGTCAAGAATTAAAGAGTCGTTGTTGAATTGGTCGGCCCATCCCCGAAATTGGCATATGGGACGTTGGCGTGCCAGTCGATTGGTAATTGTTTACATTTAGTGTCTTTGAATATGATGAAGGGACAAAATGCAATCCAATTTACATATGGAGTAGTTGTTAAATGCATGTTCTACCTTAATAACACACTTGCGTGCTTAGTTAATGGAGTATTAAGTTCACCGCCTTTAATAGAGGGATTATAAGACGGTTTCGAAAACCATCTATTTTGCATTACACGCGGTGGTGGTGTCACATATGAAAATTCTTATAGTTACTACAATACTGACATTAGCGAACAGGGCGGTAGGGGATTGTTCAACTTTGACTGCCACCTGCCTATCCGAATACAAGGCCTTCAGTGAAATTCTGCAACATAATAATGAGATTTATTATGTTTGCATAATTTAATAAACAAATGGTATTACTTATGAAACTACATGAAAAACGGTAAGGGGAGAAAAGTACCTCAACCTGAACTGTTCCTTTCGTTGAGTTCATCTTATTGTGACTCTTTAGCTCCATTGTTGATTTCAACCTCTTAAATTTTTATTTACATGTATCTTTACACTTGAGGCTATTGGGGATTTTGTCAGTGCTTTTGTTGCTCCCCAATTTTGTCTTTTGCCTTTACCACAACTATAAATTGCATTCATCTCAGCAAATCTATGAATAAAGTTTTGTGACCTATTAAGATTATTGAACAACACACAATGAATCAAGAATCTAAGGCCCTCAATTGCAAATCAAATTCAAACCAAAGCCAATCCATTTTCTATAACGTTAGGATAAGACTATAGAAAAAATTAAAGTCAATGAATATATTTAATTCCGTACAATAATGTGACAGTTTAATTTTTTATTTTACTTTTTCCAACTGAGGCATAAACTTCAAATCTTTTTTTGGGCTAGTATTTTCTTGAATATTAAAACTATGTTAAGTTATTAATTATTACGACTACTCATAATTCTCAATTACCATTATAAACAATATCAAACAAAAACATATGGTCCATTCTGTATAACAAAGTCCGCAATTAAATTTGAACAATTTCTCATCTATTTATTAATTATCAACTATATACTGATACTTAAAAATATAAATCCCTTTTCAACATTAATTAGGATTCACATGTCATAAAAAATGTTTAATAATTATTCTTCAAAATATGAACCCAATTAATCATGAAAACAATAAATTCAATATTTGTTTCCAACATTAATTATGGTTTGGAAATCATTAAAAAGGACTGGAATTTTTTCTTCAAAATACAATCATAAAGTACAATGATAAATGCACTATTTATTTCCAACATTAATTAATTTTCAGAATTAAATAAAAATGAACCATTTTTTTTAATTTTTTAATTCAAAATACAAACCCAAATAATCATAAGAACAATAAATGCAATATTTGTCTCCAACATTAATTAGGGTTTAGATACAATACAATATATATAACCTTTAATAGTAATTCATATCAGGAATAAACTTATAAATACATTAACAAACTCAAAAAAAAAAAAAACAAACCTAATATATTGGAAACAACTTTAACTTACAATATTTAAAATAGGTAGGTCTTTATCTTTTTTTTTTTTTTTTATTTTTTTATTTTATAAAGTCTTTATCTTTGTAAACCCAAATAATTTACGCCGAACACTTTCGCAGTATTTCTCTTCTCCCTCTCCCTTCTTATAACTTTTCTTTTCCAGCCATTTATGTACCGGAGATAGGGATAGCAAAATCCCCATACTCGGCGGGTCCCCGTCCCAACCCGCCCCTGTTATGGCGGGTTTGGGGACCCATTTATATAAATGGGGAGGGGATGGGAATTGTATTTGAAACTCCGACAGGGTCGGGACGGGGCCGGGGGAGGGTAACCCTGCCCCTCCCCGCCCGTTTATAGTGTATTTTTACAAAACTACCCTTACATGTTATAAAATGTTACTAAATTTCATATATATATATATATATATATATAATATTCACTTCTGAAACCCTAGATCTATTCCCTCGCAACATAGTCGTTGTTGGAAGAAGGTTATTTGTTTTAATTGATCATGTTGAAAATTTTCAGACTATTCCAAAAAATGTTATATGTGGTTTTGCTATAAGTTTAATCAAGTTGAAATGATATATTTTAAATTGTTATAATTGTGCTGAAGTTTTATTAAATTATTAGGTTGAAAAATATTATACTTGTGTTGATTTTGTTGAAGGTGAATTGTAATTTTAAAAAAGTTATGTGGGGCGAGGACGGGGGCTAATATGGCGGGGTGGGGTGGGGACGGGGGAGGGGGTTAAAATTTAAACGGGTATCGGGGCGGGGATGGGGGTAAAAAATTTGACCGGGGATGGGGATGGGGATGGGGAATGAGATCCCTGCCCCACCCCGCCCCATTGCCATCCCTAACTGGAGAATTCACAACATATACCAGTTGCTCTGTTTCTTTGGAAACAATTATCTATGGAAGTAAAGAAAAAAAGAAGAACAAATTTTAGGAAAGATATGAGACCTCTCTCTTGTTTTTGGTAACAAATGAAAATCTATTTCTATTTTGGACTTTGGGTGAATAAGATACAATAAAGGGCGGGTTTTTAAAATTTTCAAATTAGCTTTTGAGATATGCAGGTATTATGCGTATAATTCATATATATTATGTATATAATTTATATTTCCATAAGTACAGATTTTTATCTTTTACTTTTTACTGTGGCTATAGTTTCGCTACAATGAAACCGGTCATAACAACAGGTGACTCAGAGGATTTTGGTCCTGTCAATTCCCAAGTTCAGATCTACTAAAATTTTATCGCAAAATTATTCAAAATTTTTACTTTCCCTCTTCCGAATTTCAACCCTATAATCAAATTTATAGTCCCTCTTTCTCTCTCTACAAAATCCCTAACCTTCTCTACCTCCACTCCTCCTCCATACATTCAGTAGCATCAGAGGTGAGGGTTGTTGCGAGCATGCCTTTGTCATCGTCGTTAATGGATAATTGGAAAACTGCACCGAGAAGATCAGCTCGAATTGCTGAGCGTGCCGGCACGAGTCGCAATGGCTCTGGCTTAACTACTACTACTACTACTGATGGCCACGCAAACCCTCCTCCTAAGCTAAAAGAGGCAACTTTCTTCTTTCCCTCTTCTTCTTATACATGATTCATCTAATAATTATCATAGATTCGATTATTGAGTGTAATTTTATGCTGAATATTTTTGTTGATTGTTTATTATGTTCTGAAGCAAGAGGCTTTGTCCGCTACAATGATTTTGAAGTCAAAATGGGTACTTTGCTCATTGTGATTTTCAAGGTTTCTCTCAAGCTGCGTTAGGGCTCTATTTTTTTATTTTTTATTTATTTTTTTAAATGCACAATTTGCTATTTATGATATGTGTGATTAATCTGTCAAGTTTCTGTAAAAAAGCATATCTGTTTGGATGATGGAGTGGTAATTCACTTTCTGGCTTTCTGCAATATGAATGTATCCTCGTGGAAGCACTTTGGTAATATTACTTGGAGTTTAGTTTACACAGGTTGTGAGTCACTAAGATGTTGAAGTTGACACTTTCTTGTTGTAATTTTGGAGTATATTTTGTAATAAAATAAATATTTTATTTATTATTTATATAAAAGCAAAATAGTATTATATTATTTTTATTTAAAATCTCATTTTAAATTCAATTTGTTTCAAATATATAAATAGAATTTCATTATAATTCCAATTCCAATTCCAATTCCAATTCCTATTCCTATTCCAATTCTGTCGAACCTGCTGCCCCATTGACTAAGAAGGGGGCGGAGGCAGATTCCTTTTTCAAATCCTCAAATAATCGATTCCAAACGAAGCAAAGCCTCTCTACCTCACTCCTCGTCCTCTTTCTCTCTCTACAAAATCCCTAGCCTGTCTACCTCCACTCCTCCTCTATACATTAGCATCAGAGGTGAGGGTTGTTGTGAGCATGCCGTTGTCATCGTTAATGGATAATTGGAAAACTGCACCGAGAAGATCAGCACGTATTGCTGAGCGTGCCGGCACGAGTCGCAATGGCTCTGGCTTAACTACTACTACTGATGGCCACGCGAACCCTCCTCCTAAGCTAAAAGAGGCAACTTTCTTCTTTCCCTCTTCTTTATACATGACGACGCATCTAATAATTATCATAGAATCCATTATTGAGTGAAATTTTATGCTGTATATATTTGTTGATAGTTTATTATGTTCTTAAGCAAGAGGTTTTTTTTGTTACAATGATGTGTCTTTGTATGAAAATCAGCAGTGGTGCTGTGCACAAACGCATTTGTTCACACTTTTTCACCATCTACCCCTCACATCTGATTTTGTGCATACTGTTATCATGTTGGTTTTTTTAATTTTTTTTTAATTATTTTTTTTATATATGTGTGTATACATATATATATATATAAGTGATGGTATTTAAATATTTAAAATGTATTTCCTTTTGAATTCATCCAATCTTATCATCTGTTTTCATATATATGTTTTCCATTGCAAAGTTCTTTGCTGTCCTCTTAACAAGTTTCTATATAGTTTTTTATTCTTTAATATATTAGTTTTTATTTTAAAATTCTGTTGTGAATCAGATCTTTTAGATTTTGCTTTATATTTTCACTAAATCTGCAGTCAATTGTAACATTCTTCTTTGTTTCCTCACTGATATTCTTTAGTTACCTACTTGCAAACTTTTTCAAATCTGCAATTCTATGAGTTTCCATAAAAGTCAAAATAGTTTGTCACCTGATGTGAAATGTGGGTGGAACCTCATATAAGGATGACTGCTTGGTCATTAAGGCAAAAACGATCATGGGCATGCTGGTGCAGGCCAAGTGTGTGAATGTTGGGAGAAACTTGGGATGATAGGCTACAATCAGTGTGCATATTGTTTCTTGTGAAAAACTCTTTTAACTGTTCTGAGTTCTAAATCACTTTAGTTACTAAGTGTAGGTGATTGTGCCACGTCATACTCCATGTGGCACTATTTATTACTGAAAATACACCCGGTCAGTGCTGATTGGACCATATCAGGACCTGCTTGGCATTTCTCTGGAGAACCAGTAGCCTTGAGCTACTAGGTCTGAAATCGCGATGCTGAATTCACAAGAGGAAGGGGTCACCACCCTTACCTCTCCTGTGGGGGTACCCCGGTCCAGTCGGATGGGTCTCGCCATCTTCTCTGAAGCTTTCCTCTGCAGAGGAAGTTGCAAACTTAACTGTTCATTTCGAGCTCCCCTTGCATGGGAGCTCGAGGCTTATAGGAAGTACGGAAGCTTGGGACCAAAGAAGGCAAGTCCCAAGCAATTTCCCTATCTCCTTTTACTTCGTGGGAATCTGAGAATTAGTGGTTAGGTGGCTGAGTTCCAAGGATTCACCACACCTCGAGGTCTACACAAGGGAGAGAGATCGAGTAGTAGAGACGACATAATACATTAAATATATGTTGACTAACTGATAAGACCTGTATTTAATACAGGCCATCCACCACCTCGAAAAGGGGCAGCGATGTGCCTCGGGCTGCCTGCCAGATGTCCAATCTGTCAGAGACTAGGTAGAATGACCATTAGATAAAGAGGGAGCTACCCTCGTAACCAAGGGTTCTTACCTAGGTAAACTGACCATTGGATAAAGAGAGAGTTAACTCTCATGACCAAGGGTCCTTACCCAAATGAAAGTAGTATAAATAGGAATGAACTCTCTACATTAAAAGGAGGTTGGAATACATATACACCACAACCACCATAACCATAAAGAATGGTCTTCTAGGACTCGAGCTACCATAGGGTGTTAAACAAATCTGCCTTCTCTCTCTCAATCTCCTCTATAGAGAATCCCTTGTGCTAGATTGGAGCTCTACTCAGCCTCTGATCTCAGCATTCTTGGCATACCCTCACTTTACAATAAAAAGAAATGGAAAAGGTCCATTTCCAATAAGAACAGAAAATCAGAGCTAGGAAAGCATATAGAATTATCAAATTACAAGTCATTACATTCAGAAACCAGTAGTATTTGCCTGGTCCAAGACCTCCCAAGTAGCATCTTTTGCAGCTGGATAAGCGATATGGTCTTGATGAAAGTGTGCTTTTTCTAGCTCTCAAAATACCCCAAATAGCCGTTGTGATTAACATTCTAAACATATAATCCCTTCTAAAATCTTATCCAAAAACTCTAACACACCAGTTGATGAACATGTTAAAAGAAGAAACATTGGGAGGAGAACAACAAAATCTCCAATTTTAAAGGAGGCGCACAACAAAATATATTCCTCTAGTACCTTCTAACCATTTCCAGAACTGAGAGTAACTTGCAGCAGAAATTAGGAGCATACTTCAGCTTGCACCATTTAATCCTAAGCCTATCTTTACTCTGCAGGTAGTACCATGCCAATAAACACTGAGTAGTTTTTGCAATTTATGTAACTTTCCTTTGGCCTAAACCACCTTCAGACTTAGGTGATGAAACAGTGGATCATTTAAAAAGATGCTTCTTCTTATTGACATCCTTGTCTCCCCATCTCAATAATATGGATTACCGATGCAGGGAGAACTGTAGCAGAACATCAATAGTATAGAAAGGAGTTGAGAACAGTTATGCAGATTTCTATTCTGCCAGAAAGAGATAGGGTCATGTTATTCCAACTTGTAATCTTAGCATTAAATTTATCAAGAAGAGGATTGAAATCAGCAATCTTGAGTTTCTGACTATGAACAGGCAGTCTGGTAGAGAACAGTGGCAGCAAGTAGAGGACAGTGGCAGCAGCATTTAAAATTTATAAAAGGCTTGGGAAAGATGATTCTAGAGCTCAAGCCTTGATTTGGCACATGTTAGGTGAAGTGGGGTCCACTTGCAGTCTTGCATAATTGGGGGGATTGGGTCAAATTGCATATTATGGTAAATTGCATCAGTTATAATCAAAGTGCATCAATCAAGTTATTTGTTACTTTTATTATGCCAGAGTCAACTATTGATTACCTCAATTATGGGGTAATCTAAGGGTCATAAGTTGTTATAAAAAGGATAGTATGTAACTTTGATTATGTAGTCCGTGAATGAATAAAAAGTCTTTGAATTTTCTTTGTGAGTGATTCACAAGATATGAGGGTGTGAGGCCTTCCCTAGGTGTGATACCTAGGCCCATTTTTGTAGTTAAGAATTCTAGCAAGGCTTCCCCTCCTCTTAATTGCCTTGGAAAAATACAGAAAGCTTTTTTCTTGGTTAACAGCAAGACTAGATATCTGATAAAACTAATCCAGAGTTTTTGATGCAATTTGCTGAATCCACATCAGCCTTAGTAACCATGACCAAATCATCTGTGTAAAATAGATGAGTGATAGGTAGTTGGATTCTCTGTACAATTAGTGAAAATTAGAGTGTGTAGTCTGCCTACATTAATGCTATGTATACCACCTCTTCCTTAAAAATAAATAAATAATTAAAATTAAAGTGGAACAAATAATATGAGAAGTGCAATGGTAACAATTGAAATGCTTTTAACTCAACGAGTGAGAAGTATATACATGTGCGCGCATGTGTATAGAGAGTGGGGTGAGAAAGGAGAATCATGTAAAATAGAAAAAGAAATTGAATAAATACACAGTAAGTTTTTAAATGCGCAATTTGCTATTTATGATATATGTGATTAACCTGTCAGTTTCTGTAAAAAAACATATCTGTTTGAATGATGGAGGGGTAAATTCACTTTCTGGCTTTCTGCAATATGAATGTATCCTTGTGGAAGCACTTTGGTAATATTACTAGAGTTTAGTTTACACAGTTTGAGCCACTAAGATGTTGAAGTTGACACTGTCTTCACCTTTAAACAGTACCTGCTAAGAACTAATTTTGCTAGCTTATCCCTCTTAAATAAGGATGATGTTGTTGAAGTTGACACTGTCTTCACCTTTAAACAGTACCTGTGAGTGTGTGTGCGCATATTATTATTATTGGAGAGGCATATCCTTTTAAATATTTGTTCTTTGTTTTTTCTTCTACTACAAATTTCTTAGGTGTGCTGTTTTTAAAATAGTATAGTTCTCCTTTGTAGGTTTTTATTTATTTATTATTTAAACTCTGTTTCTTGTGGATTTCATATTATAAATTTGTTGTTTTAGTTTCTATTAAAAGTCGCATTTTATTTTTATTTTTTGTAAAAAAAAGTCCTTTCCAAAGATGCAGATGGCTGGAGTTGATCATGACTCCAATAATTTAAGGGTTGTTGCTTGTTCAAGTAGAAGAAAGATGAAAAGCAGCACCCCACCATTTTTTCCGGAAGAGATCATATTCAACATCCTGCTTTGCTTACCTGCTGAGGTTCTTTACAACGTGATGAGGTATGTTTGCCGAGAGTGGTATAATGTGATCAATGCCCCTGGTTTCATAAACTCACACCTTCAAAAATTAACTGATGATAGCCTCATAATCCGAAGTTGCAAAAGTGCAAATGCATGGTTTGTGGCGATACACAATTGTAATACTCAGATAAGACGGTTAAGATCTGAGTTTTGTGGCGGGTTTCCTAGGCGCGTGCTTTGTAGTTGTGATGGTTTACTTTTCTTGTCCTGTGATGATCGCAAAAACCTCTATGTTGGAAATCCTATTACGAAGCAACTACTGACCCTCCCTCCAGTATCTACTATGTATCGTATGTTTGGTTCTCCTCAGTTTACTTATGCTCGCTCTACCGGGAGATACAAAGCACACCTTCCTGTCATTGAAAATGTCCAGAGTGATTTTCTTAACTGGTTAATATTTACTGTGGGTACCGATAGTGCTTGGAGATCGATTGAGACTAAACATGTGCCGGATTTTTTTGCGTATACTAAGTCGTTTTCTACCGGAGGGTATATTTATTATACTAGCCCCGTAGAGCCTCATCTTTTGGCTTTGGATGCTGATGCTGAAATATTTCACCAGTATACTGTTCCAAATGTCTTCCGTGAGGCAATTAGAACAAATTTCTTCGAAATGTCAACTAGATTTAATTATATAGTGTGGAAAAGCTTTCTAGCTTTTGTGGCTCATTCTGCTGAATTTGTTTGGGAGCTTTGGGCTTTGACGGAATTGAATACAGGGGAGTGGACCAGGTGTTTTATCATTGACTTGAGTGGTCATATAGGTTTGATCGAGCCGTTATTTGATTACCGGAATGCTGTATGTCTTAAGGATGAATATTATGAATTACCTCTGGATCTTCGTTTTATTCCTGTTACCTCCTTAAAAAAAGGAGAGCTGGTGATCTTCCGTGGTGTAATACCATTTGAAAATTACCTTGTTTACAACGTCAAGACAGGAGATGTTTCTTCATTTGTGATAGGTGATTGCTACGGCTCAAGCATCTTCGAACGCCATGTCAACAGCTTGGTTTCATGGAAAGTCTCTTAGTTCCTTTGTTTTTTGATCTCCACATACATCCAAGGGTCCTATTTTGCTCACCGGTGAAGTGCCTCTTGTCAATTTCTTTTTTCCAAATGTGTTTTGAGTACTAGTACTGTCCTAAGGAGTATTCTAATATATAGTCATGACTACTTATTTTTTCTTTTTCTGATCACTGAGTTGTTCTGTCATTAGAAACTATATCTCTATTTTCATAAATCATAGCAAGATTCTGTTTTATAATAGAACCATTGGTTTCTGGATTACTTCATCTATTTGCTTTTTTGGCGTCAATTCGATGAAGACGCCTATGGTTGTTCCGAACTGAGTTTAGAGTGAGAGACTTGTACGCATTACATTAATTTAACATAAATTATATTAGAGCTATACTGTGAATACTAACTCACTCTATTAGACATGGTAGTAATTGCTTGTTCATCTCTTAGTGCTCTAGTCATGTCTCTCTCTCTCTCTCTCTCTCACACACGCACACACACACATTGGGTTAGGGTGCATGTATTATGTGAGTTAAGATCTGCAATATAACACGGACTGCCATAAACACTTAAACATGTGATTGTGTTACACATGCATGAGTAATCGTGACCATTCAGCATTGTACAGTACATGTACTAGATGGTAGTACTTGTTTGGCCATCTCCTGTGCTCATTTGTCATGTCTCTCTCTTTCACACACAGAGTTAGGGTGAATACATTATGCGGGTTCAGATCATATATGGTACATTACATGTATTGCATTGTAGCGGACGGCCATGATCACTTACATGTATGAGTGATCACACGTATGAGTGATCTACAATCCAAGAGGGTAGTTATTGCTTTGCTACTTCTAGGGATTGTCATATCTCAATCTCTCACTCTTACATTTGGGTTAGGGTAAATGCATTTTTTAAGTCCAAATCATTTGTAGTACAATGCATGTTGTACTGTAATGGTTGGCGACAATCACTAACACATGGTCATGTCACATGTATTAGTAATCGTGACCATTCAGCTACATAATACGTTGATGTTACAGCACTAAATTGGGTGCCTACAATTTTTCAGAATAGAAAAAGTTTTGGACCATGTGGATGGCCTCTTCGTAGAGAACAAGGCTAGGTGTGTTACCTAAGAAATCAAAGGGCTATGTGGGTCATTCACATAAATGGCTGTCACTGCCCAAGACGAGTACTTATCAAATGAAACAGTGAAGGGGCTATGTTGACACTTCAATTTGGCCAAACATAGTGTAGGCATTTCTCACTGATTGTAGTAGACATGGTAGCTAGTAATTGTCACCACTATTGTGTTGTCAAGGTATATATCCTTGGTGACCCTCACCCACCCACCTCTCTCTCTCACACACACACTCACACACATGATATTATTATTAGGTTAGGATGAATGCATTTTCTTGGATCACAAAATCATTATAGATCATGTCATGTGGGTGGCTTCTACATAGAGAACAAAGTGTGATTGTGTTATATCATAGACATGAAACATTTTGGACTAGTGTGTGTGTGTGTGTTGGTTATAGTCACTAACCAAGGACTACTTGTGTGGCATAGGAAACCTAAGGGGTCTATGCTAACATTTTCATTTAGTATGGGTCAATTTAACAGGCAACACGTCCACATGCTCTTTGAAGATGTTACAAAACATTAGGTTGTCCTTGTTGACAAAGGATAGGAGACATATATGCTACAAAGTTGCTGCACCAACCGCCATTATATTATATGCTCTCTCTATATACATATATATCATAAATGAATATATGTATCATGTATGCATAGCGTTTTCAAACCTTAGACAAGTCCCGGTCAGGATTCCTTGTAGTGTGAACTTGTTTTAGTACGTGATTTGATTTACGGGAAAAAAAAAAAATTTTGTGAGGTATTTCAGTGTCCGTGAGGAAGTTTGTTACAATAAATGATAAACTTTTAATATTTTTCTTTTGCTAGGCCTATAGCTAAAAAAATCCACTTTCTTACAATTATGGGGTTTGTTGGAATACGAAATCTAATCCCGAAAATACAACATCCCACTTTTTTCACTTTTTTTATTTTTATTTTTATTTTTTTTATTATTATTATTTTTTTTTACCCAACGATTTTATTATACATTTTACTACCCAAAGATTTTATACATTTAGAAATCTAGAGATCTCTACCGGAGGAGGTGCTATCCGGGAACAATTAGTCGATCTAAATTTACGAATTATTATAAATTATTTCTTGATAGAATGATACGATATTTGCTTTCACATTATTTTCAATGAAGATTCCCTATCTGTTTTCCTTCATAATAAAAAATAATAAGCACCTAATTTTGTTTGGGAAGAAAAAATACTATTTCGTTGGTGTCCTTGACTATTGACAAGTTATACCGTAAAATAATAGATGTATCACTTTAACTTAAAGTATTACTCAGAATATAATATTTATATCTTATACTCCCTCCATCCCAAAATAATTGGATATTTTGAGAACTATCCAATTATTTTGAGACAGAGAGTAATATATATATATATATATATAATATCACAAATGTATATATATAATATCACAAATGTTGTTCTCACCTATCCATATTACACAATATTGCTTTGTTGTGGTCAAATAACATATTTGATGGGCGTGTCATACATCACAGATCACTACAACTGAAAGCAAACAATCAAATGAGCATCAGTTTAAAGCTTTTACTCATTTTCCACTTCCTTTTATTTTACTCTAGCACAAACATCAAACTAGTTAGGAAGATCAAGGTAAATTATTACCCTTTATTTTTCTCCTCTAGTGAGAATCAAGGACCCCAAAAGAAGACCAAAAAAGAATTTAAGTGAGAAAAAAACAAGATTCAACCACAAGCCAAAAACTTGCACATCCAGTACTCAATGCCATTCATCTTCTTCAACATGATCACTATCTCATAAACCTTTTGCGGGTATGGAAGATATTTGGCAACACTTTCTCTCCATGCATTTCTTCATGCAAGTTGAGAATTTGGGACATTGGTCATCCACCTTGAAACCTCCAAATTTCTCAGAGGCAAAATAAATTATTATTATCATCTAGACCAGAGGTGACAGATAGCAGGTAATTCCAATCCTCTTCTCTGATAGTGAAAGACAAAATTAATTAATTAGTATTCCATAGGCCAAAAAATACACTACCATGATTACAACAGAGCATCAGCCAAAGTAAATCCCACATCCAACTCAATTGTATCTCCTTCATCAGAACAACTTCAACCTACACATTAAGATTAAGAATCAGGATATTGTTAAGTATGTTAATAATCTATACAAATGAAAGGAAAAAAATTACTTACCAAAAGAAATCATATTGATTTGTGGGATGACAAGGCAATTGTATCTACTTTATGTCCTCTGTTGTTCTCTAAAAAAAATTCAATTTAAAGTCAAATTTAAGAAACTTACATTTAATACTTCCTTTAGTTCATGAATAGAAGTCGCCAGCACAAATCAATGTTTCCATCGTTTTTGTAGATAATGATGCACGATATGGATCTATCGTTCTACCTCCGGTGCTAAAAATAGAAATCTATGTCATCATGACAAATGAAGACACCTTCTTCTAAGAGCATGTCTAGTTCAAAATTTGAAGGTCTACACTCTTATTTCTTCTAACAAAAATATCAAATTCAAGCCTGCCTTTACTTTTGAACTTAGAAGTGTGACTCACCTCACAATCAATAGTTGCAACTGTTTGATTCACTCCTTGCTCTAAGTTGCTAGAAGTATAGGCATCCACATATTCTTTAAATAGATCATATAACGCCTTAGGCACTAATTCAATGTTTCTTGATGCTTCCATCTCGAAATATATTTTGGGAAAGCAAAACTCAATGAGCACCATTTTGTACCTTGGATCCAAAATTGCACCTTATATTGAGTATGAATATGTCATATTTACACAATATCCGCAAAATGGGCTGACACTCGGCCCATAAGCTCAAAGCATTAAATACCAAATCACCGTTAATTCAACACTTTGTAAGCACATATATATCTAGTTAATTTACTAATTTTTGGAACAAATACCTGCAGTTTTCTTATCATTAGAAAAGCACCAAATGTGAAGCACATGCATGACTATCATCATTCATCAGAAGTAAAAGAAGGGTAAATTGGTAATCTAAAGATCTAAACAAGCAAAGAAAATTGAATTGCATAGCTTCAGTATGATAGTTTTATGAAATCTAAATTGTATAATTGGCTCCAACTACTGGATATCGGGTCCATGATTCTCTATAAAACCCCTAAATTATTGATTTAGTAGATTGAATTTTATTCATAATTAACAATATATACTTCAAGTTAGACACTTCAAGCAGTTGTCAATTATGGTAGGAGATCCAATATCTAATAATTTCACTCAGGAATTCAGGATGGTGATAACACATACACACACACATATACAGAGCTTTCTATATTTTGATCCTATTCATGGTAACACCCTATCCTTTTTCATACAAACCCTAAACTTTGTAACAACACTATAGGCTTCTACATTGTTCTTTAATTGTGCCAATTAGGTGTGTGTACCATTTTAGGACTTTTGTGGATCAGTAGAGAACATGGAGGGGGAGACATTTTGTTTTGGAGGGTACTCATTGATCATTTCCTTTCATTTATATAATATTTGATTAGTAGCATTAAGACACATAACCCTATCTTAGGAAGTATGGACACGCCTAAAAGACAAAAAATTGGAGGAAAAAATGAAAAAGTACGATGCAGTTTCATCTCTCTCTCTCTCTCTCTCCCACAATCTTATAAGCCTCTCCTCTACCTTTCGTTGCATTCCATCTATTCCTTTGAGTTGCCCTGTCGTCTCTCTCTCCCTCTCATCTGCAACGATCGGCAATTATCGACGGCGATCGACACTTAAACGATCTGTAAATTCTCTCTTCTCAGATTTGTATTTTCTCTTCCCCTCTCATCCTCATATATGTATATATATATCTTCTCAGATCGGTAATTTTGTTGCCAATTTTGTCTCTGCAATTAAATGGAGGAATTGGGTCTACATTATGTGATCTTTTGATTTGAGAAAATAGTAATTTCAGGACGACAAGTTTGGGTGTTCTTTTGTCCTCTTCTTCTGTTCATGTTGCCTCATATATGAATATATATTAATTTCTTCTTCTTCTTAATTTTTTTTTTGAGGGGATTATATTTATATCAAATGAGATTTATCAGACACTCTTATGAACACGGGTAATAGGAAACTTTTGCCATTATATCATCTTAAAACTCAATTTATTGATTTCTTTTTTTTTTTTTTTTTTTTGGTTTTAAATTGTTTGTTAAGTTCTATCCTCTGATTAGTCTGGATTAGTAGTTCTCTTAAACTCCCCGATTCTTTTCTTCTTCTTCTTCTTCATTTTTTTTTTTTTATTTATTTTTTATTTTTTATGTTTATGTTTAAAACTTAAGTCGATATAAAGGGAAAAGGGTTTGTAGATAAGAATGAAACTTTCTGAATTCTGATGAAAGTTTCTAATTAGGCCTCCACGGTTCCACCGTCTCCTTCAAAGGCTTCAATTCAGTCAAGGGGATTGCTTTACTAGTTCCAAAACATGTTTTATGTATTTTTGTTGTTTCAATCTCTGGAATCTACTTGGTTGAAATCACACAAATTTTTAAAGTTTTAGCTATGTCTTCTTTTCTTCTGTTTCTCCTTTTCAGCGATCACAATTATCAAATGGAGCATTAATTTAATACCAAGATATTAGAATATTCTAAATTTCTGATTCATCAAATGATTGGTGGGCTACTTTTTTCTTTTTTTCTTTATTCTTGAGCATTAGTAATCAGTAAATCAGCAATCAAATGGAACGTTAAGTGTCTCCTTGTTTGATTGTGTATGTTGCTACATCATCTTCATCTCAAAAGGACACTGCAGAGTGTAACACATATTTAACACATCTTCATCTAAAAAATATATCTATCATTTTGTTTTATTTCTCTTTTATTTCTTTTTTTTTTTTTTGGTCCTTTTTTGACCAGATATTTTAGATTTTTGCTTCTTTTTAATTAGGTTTAATTTTAGTTTCCTTCTAATGTCTATAAATTGACTTAGAATGTGTCTAATATTAATATTACTGATGCAAATATAAATGGTAGGAATGGTAGTTAAAAAAAAATGGTGGTTGTGTAAAAAAAATAACGTTTTGTATGAAATACACCATTGGAGCAGAATGGCTAAAATGTAACATTTTGACACTGGAGCACCTGTCAAAATATAAATTTGACATCCGAAAATAACTTTTAGCATTTGAGATGGACTAAGGATGCTTTCACGTCCTTATGGGAGAAATGCATATGGTACCATAATGATGTTATAATAATAATAATAATAATAATGTTTGTTATTAGTTCATTTTGGGTAAACATCAAATGAACACAATGATATATACTCTCTGACATGGAACAAAGAAATACCTTTGAACACACGTTCAAAGCAGTGACGTAATCTTAAATTTGTCATTTTTAAATTGGTAGAACTCTATTTTAGTTTATTTAATTATTAAAAGACAACTCAACAAGACACTTTATCCGAAAGTATGCCCTCCAAATGTTTCTTAATTACACATTCAATTTTTAATCAATCGAACTTTTGATGCATGTATCATTAAAAAGAAACTGTGATACTCCTCGGATCCGAGACACGGGTTGATCAGGCCCAGGCTCAAATCCGAAGGATATCAGACAATTAAGACTTTAAAGAACACGGAATACAAAATGCAATATGGAATAAAGTAATGAGCTGAAAGGAACTAAGATAAAAATCCTTAATAATAATTATTAAAATCCGATGAACCAAATCCTCCAAGGTTACAATTCGGGAAATTCATCCAGTGGACCCCTTATTAAAAACCTAAACTGAAACTGAAGCAACTGAACCGAAACATAAAACTAAACATAGAGAGTATTCCAATGTATTCGGAGGAATGAGTGTCTGTATCTGCTCTGCACGTTCAAGCTCTAACCTTGGAACTGACGAACGCCTGAAAAATAAAAAGAGTGAGTCAAGCCCACATGCAAGTCCTATCCTACTACAATCCATACAGAAATCCGATACACAGATACATCCGAGATAGCTCAACAATATCTAATAGTCTGTACATAAGTATATCCACACTATCAAGTAGGACTTAGCAATTTAAGCTAATCCAAACCTAATATGACACCGTCCCATACCAGTGCATACAATTTATAAATATAAGTAGGATTTATTTTATAATCCATTCCCTTATTCCGTATAGGTAGGATTTAGTATTTTGAAACTAATCCGTCCCTAATATGTCATCGTCCCATACCGGTGCATACAATCCATACATCCAGTAGTTGATAACACAGATTATGAACATAATTATCAACTAATCCATACATCCAACAATTTATAATTAAAATATTAAATATAAACATCACTTATTCCATACTAAACATGATAATACTTTGTAATTTAACAGGCTTAGTTAATACTACTCCGCATAGTCCAATAATTGATAATACAGATCAAACATGTAAACATCAATTACTTCCAAGTAAGCATAATAGAATATATAAATTCACATATTTATTTTATAACACTGGAATATGATTAAACTATACAATCCATAATAAATGATGCACAAATAAGATAGTACACCAATTAATCCATACCGAGTATGATATAAATCATACATAAAACCATTTGCATTTATTCAAGCAACTACATCAATTTAAATAGCATTTAGTTAACTCACATTCCAAGTATTTACCCTACATCTCAGATAAATTGTATACAACTCCAAACCATGAATAAAGTCATTTAATTCAACGATTTAAGCAATTAAATAACTACTACCCATCCCTTAAATAATTCATAAAAATTATTTATCAATCTGTATTGTCTCATTCCTTTAAGCATATGAAGTATCTTATGCATTCTAGAACCTTTCAAAGTCCATTCAACCCATTTAGATTAATTAAAATAGGTTTAAAATCATTCTGGGTAGTTAAAACCAAAAGTCCAGGTCGCGGTCCAACTGAGCAAGCTAAGTTCCAAACTGAGCAAGCTAAGTTACAACTGAGCAGGCTGAGTTGCTAACTCAGTCGGCTGAGTTAGTGCTGGGGTCTTCTTCTTCGTCCTTTCAGCCTCTGTAAACCCTAAAACTTCATTGTTAAGGCCCCTAATCTTTAACCTAAGTCACATACGTCCATACTGAATTATTTTAAGTGTTTTAGTAGGCAAAGATTCAAGTTAAACCACAGTTCATGCATAAAGATCACATAAATAAAGAAATCATGAGGAAGCATATAAAATCATGAAACTCTCTGGTTTAATCCAATTAAACATGCATGACTACTCCATTATATCATTAGTTAAACCCCTGGAGTCTAGCTAGGCATGCACAGAACACGGATTAAAGGGAAAGAGAAGAACACAAACTTGCCTTTGAGACTTTGGATTAAAATCTCTAACTGTCGTTTCTAGATTTTCAGGCAAATCCTTTACCGATCAATCCCTCTATTTTTCCTTGATTCCACACACGTACAACCCCTTCAATCCTTCCTTGGTTTAATCGTAACTTAAGGCAAAACCCTAGACTTCCTCTCTGTATCTTACGTACATGAATATGGTGAATAGGGTTTACAAAACCCTTGACAGATGTATACTTATATATTTATAGGTGAATAATGATAACCCTAATCCATGTATAACTAGAGACTAAGCCCTAATTCCAATCCTAGCCGGCCCATGAAACTATCTAACTTGGTTAATGATTTTAATTTTTATACATGCTTGCCAAAAGAAAAATACCATTTGACAGTTAATGAAAAAAAACATAAATTAAAACAATTAATTAAAGAAAAATACACAATTAACTGAATTAAAATAAAATAAAACAAATAAGCAAAGAAATGAAATTTAAACACCCAATTAAACAATTAAATCAAATAATGAAAACAATTAAGTCAACTAAAGAAAACAAAATCCAATTAACACTCAAGTCAATTAAAACAAACAAATAACCAATTAAATAATTGAAAAGCATTTAAAATAATTAAATAAAATTCCAGGACTGTCCTTTTAAAATTAGGGGTATTACATTCTTCCCCCTAACAAAAGAAATTCCGCCCTCGAAATTCGCTCTTACCTTTTTCCCATAATTCAGAAAACTGCGAGCGAATAACATCCTTCTGTTCCCAAGTGGACTCTGCCTCATTGTGATGACTCCACTGCACACGAACTAAAGGGATAACCTTGTTACGAATGATTTGATCCCGACAGTTGACAATACGACACGGTGGCTCCAAATAGGTTGCATCCGGCTATAACTCAGTCTCCCCCACATCGATATGTTGATACCGATCCTCATCTCGCAGGAATTTCCGCAACATGAAACACGTTGTGAACACGATCCAAAGTATCGTGAAGTGCGAACCGATAAGCTAATTTTTAACTATGTAATGCTTGATAAAATATTCATTTCACTCATAATCCAAGAAGTACAATCACTCCTCCATACACTATTTTGAGTGCAACTAGGAAGGAAAGAAAGCAAAGAACTTTCCACATCATCATATATAATTTTTAAATATTGCGGCATTTTGTAATGCAAATGAACTTCACCTGAATCTCTGATGAAACTTTTTTATCACTACTTTCCCAGGAGCACTTTACATCCCACCAAAAGCTTAACATGTTAGGCGGAGCTGCCTAAACCCACCCTACCTGGATCCGCTGTCGGACAAGAACCTCTATCTATATCTATATCTATATCTATATCCTTTTTTTAACAAAAGCTAAGATAAACAAGTAATGAACAACCTATCACATACGAATGAATGAATTAACACTTTATGCTTAAAACGGCGTTAATTCACCTGAACAATTAGAAGGAAAATCTTAAACTGATGAGAAAACAGTTGAATAAAGGAGTTGAAACATGCCATAAATCTTAGAAAATAGTGCTAAAATTATCTTTAAGGGGACACTGGGCAACTATCCAGACAACAATCATAGAAAAAAATAGCATAAGCAGATACGTTTTCTCCACATCAAAACTTGAAATCGCATCAAAAGCAAAATAATTAAGTAAAATAATTTAATACTAATACATTGATGAATAAATAAGCAAAATAAAATAAAATAAAGCAAAATTAAATTAAATTAAATTATATTAAATTAAAGAATGTAAATTAAAAACCTTGAACCATAGGTGCTAAATATGAGACTGTTTTCTTCCCCAAGACAAAAGCTTTTGATGCCTCCAACAGAATTAACACCGTATTCAGCTTCTTGACCCAATTCATGGTATTTGGCTTGAAAGTCGTAAAAGGAAACTGAATACATTCCGGCAAGAGGCATTTCTTCCAACGCTACAGCAACCTGCATAGGACTTTTGGTCCCTTTCAAATTGATCATTTCTGCTCTCAAATCACCTTGAGGATCCCAACAGCTTGATCTCTTTCCTGTGACGACTGTGGATCACTGTTTACCGACAGCCACCTCCACAACTACAACAACCGGCCGCAATCTCCACAGATGTAGGCCGTTGATGTTATTGAGATCGAGAATGGAGCCGTTGGTGTTGTCCCAATCGACATTGATGATGTCCAGATTGTCGAGATTTCAATGCCCCTCCTGCTGTGACAATTGTTGATCAAAGGATATCGTCAACGTCAACGTCAGTTCCGTCGTCAATCTCTACAACACCATCTCAACACCAACGGCTACTGTATCTGTGGTGGTTGCGGCGACTGTGGAAGTTGCGGCGGCTGTGGAGGTTGCGGCGGCGGCTGTGGAGGTGGCGATCGCTTCGATAGTGGATGTAGCATTGGCATTGGCTGTTGGTTCGCCCCTAAAAATTAGGTTTTAGAGAAAAGAAAGAGTGATTGACCACCGTTTCCCACAAAGGTTCGCCTAACCACCAGTTGGGCTCGTGACTGCTCATAGTGAAGGTCGCACCAGTGTGCGGATCAACAAAATGGTTGATGATGATTCCATGAAAAGCAGGGTACAATCCGGTCACAATTGAGTAATGGCTTGGGAATGTTACGGTTGGGAACACCGGAATCAAACCCGTTTGAGCTTCGGTCCCGTTACTGATCAGGTGATGGATGTTGGGCGTCGGGGTCTTGAATTGGTACCTAAATCGAAACCCATCGAATGAAATCAGGAGAACAACTGGGTGGTTGAGTTTGGTGAGAGGACGAGCAAAATTTTCAATTGATTCAGAGGTTTGATTGGGGTGGGATTGAGATTCAGATTTAGTCAGAGAATAAGATGAAGGCGAAGGAGACGGCGGCGGAGATAGCAACGGAAGTGGTGAGGATGAAAGAGATGATGATGACGGCGGCGGTGGTGGTGGATTTGGAGGGAGAGGTTGAGGAGGTGTCGTGTTGAAGGAGAGAAGAGCTGTGATTTGATTTGGTGGATCTTCTTCTTCGTGCGTTTTGATTGGTGTCGGCTTATTATTATTTGAGGTCAAGATTGAGAGAGAATCAGAACCCATGGAGAGAGAGAGGTGTCTTCCTCAATGGGTTTAGAGATTTCAATATTCTATGAACTAGGTTGTGTGTTTTAGATTACTCTTTCAGAAGAATCTGTGATCTTCTTCTGGGTTATACATCGTTGTTGTACGGAGGGAGAAAATGGGGTGGATTCTAGAGAGAGAAAAGGAAAGGTTGGCTGGGCATGAACACAATTGCCCTAAAAAAAAAATTATAGGCTTTGTTTGGGTGAATTAATGAGATGGGGTAACATGGTAATTTGGCTCAAACAGTGAAAGATTATTTTGGATTACAATCTGTAGTGAACCGTGAAAGTTCGCATCCACGGTCATTAATTTGGTTAACTTTATTTCTATTGGAAATTATAAGACTTTAATTATGTGATATTATAAATATAGATCTTTTATATGTAAAAAAAAAATTTAAAAAAATGTAGGAGTATACCTGTGAAGCTCTTTTCATCGAGACAAATGTGCCCCAGCGGCCTGACCCTAATTAACTAATTAAGCGAACTCACATGGGTTGCGGGCTGACTCTAAAACTCGAATTGGGTATGTGATTTTTCCTTTGCCAAAACGACGTAGTTTTGGGTGAAGGGATTTTTTAATTTTGTTTAGGTTTAGGCTGCAACAATAGGAACAATGTCTCAAGGCACTGGTTGATAACTTGGTTTTTTTGGGGAAAAAAAAAATCAAAAATAGTTTATTAAATAAAAATAGAACAATACTTGCCTACTCATTAGTGAGCAGATTAATTCTACTGACTGATTATGTGTTCCAATAATAAATGGACACATCAACTTTAATGACAAATTCAAAAAAGTAATAAAAAAAAGAGAATAAAGTGGGATTGACCCGTTTCAATTGGGTAACTGGTCGCCTGCATTCAAACCCTATTTTTTTTTCTCTCTCTTTCACCCCCTCCCAGTTTCTCCTTCTTCTTCCTCTCACAGGATATCATCAATCAATAGGCCTCATATTGTTAATTCTCTTCCTACTGCATCTTCAATGGGTTTGTAGATGTACCTCAATTGGATTATATAATTTATGTTATTTATAACATCGAATGTGATATATAAAATATTTTTTCTTAGTAAATAAACAAATCAATCATAATTTTTTTTTCCCGGAAATTAATCAACCAATTTTTTTTACTAACAGAGTTGTAGCATAAACTTAAGAAACTCTGTTTGCTATTACATCAATTACATTCTTGATCTCCAAACATATATTACCATATTCAACGGTACATAGCTTATATACAACCAATTCATAATAGTGATCAAATACGATCATGATAATAGTGATCAAATACGATCAGAAGTTCAACTTCTTACAAAGTCTTGAGAAGAAGTTGGGAAAGTAACACCACAACCCACCCTTGCCTATTGAGTGATACGAAGCCCGAGAGATTTTGCAAAAGTGCTCGTCTATTGATTAATGATGTTCATGAGAGGTGAGAGGAAGAAGAATAGTGGAGAGAGGACCGCGTGAATTTGGGAATGGGGTGAAAGAGTGAGAAAAGAAATACATAAGGTTTGAATACATGCTACCCAATTGAAGCAGGTCGATCTGGCTTTATTCTATTTTCTTATTAATTTTTTATTTTGTCATTAAAGCTGAGGTGTCTACTTATTATTAGAACATGTAATCGGTCAGTAGGATAAACCTACTCACTAGTGAGTAGACAAGTATTGTCCATAAAAATATGACAAATACTTACCTACTCACCGGTGAGTAAGACTTCATACTTACCACCTATGTGGCAGGACAATAAAGGGACAAGTGTCCCTCCAATAAAAAATAAAAATAAAAGATTTGAAAAGTTATTTGGGTCAAGCCCAATAAAATCTGAATCAAATCCTAATTTGATTATTTTTCTTTCTTATAAAATCCGAATCAAACCCAAAAAAATTATGTAGAAGGAATTGGATTAATTTTTTTGATGATGGTGAGACTTAAGAGTTCAACTGTAAACCTAGCCACTCGCTGCTAGAGTATTTGCATTAAAATAGGCTTATTAACATTATTCAAATAAATAAAAGAAAATATTTAGTCATGATTTAGTAAAAAAATAAAATTTGTTTTTTTAAGAAATCTTTTTGGTTAATTAATTATAAGACAATCATAGATTCATATTTATTTTCATATGTGGGACAAGACACCCATTAACAAGTGCAAGCATCTACTTTTACACAAAAAAAAAAAAATTTATTTATTTTTTATTTTTTATTTTCTCAACAAGAAGGCAACGGAGGGCTAAACAACACAAGCCACTCTTCAAAAGAACAAAATCAATTTATATATATTAGTTTACACATGAAATCTTATCACCCACAATCGAAAATCCTAATCTGATTCATTTCATGGATTTGATTTGAGCAAGATACTTCTAGTTGTGATTCTTTAAGGCTTAGAGATTAAGGCAATAAAGTAGCATGTGAAAGAGATAATTAGATATGGGTTTGATTTGGATCCTACTGGATTTAACCCAAATAATTTCTTAAATCTTTTATTATTATTGTTATTATTACATTGTAGAGACACTTGTCACTTTGTTGTTGCGCCATATCGATGGTAAGTATGAAGTTCTTACTCATCGGTGAGTAGACAAGTATTGTCCTAAAAATGTATCGTTTATACATTATTTGTAAAAGTTAAGTTTTAGAATTTCACATCAACACAACGAATTCTAAAAACAAGTGAGAACTAACGGATCAGTGATCTAGTAGTATCAGTCTCTTACCTTCTAAAGAGAGATTAGGGATTCAAGTTTCAGAAGAGACGTGTGTGTGAGTACTAACTAAAAAAAAAAAGTGACGTTTATAATAGTCAATTTTGACTTCTCCGATCTTATTTGTAATTGGTCATACGATGTACAAGAAGAAATGAAGAATGAAATTACAAATGAAATAATCACTTTTTTGAATGACTTTAGCTAAGGATGCTTTGATATCCTTATGGGAGAAATGCATATGGTACCATGATGATATAATAATAATAATAATAATAATAATAATAATAATGTTTGTTATTAGTTCATTTTGGGTAAACCATCAAATGAAGACAATGAAATATACTCTCACATGGAACAAAGAAATAGCTTTGAACACATGTTCAAAGCAGTGACAAGATCTTAAATTTGGCATTTTTAAATTGGTAAAACTCTATTTTAGTTTATTTAATTATCAAAATACAACTCAACGAGACACTCTATCCGAAAGTGTGCCCTCCAAATGTTTCACTTCGGGTCTGAATGCCAATCATATTAACTAGCTTCATACTCCAAGTCCAAAGTGACAAAGTCACGTGAATCTACAGATCCAAAGAAAATAATAATAATAATAATTAATAATCTATCTTAATATTTTAAATTTAAAAAATTAAAAAGCAAACCCTTGTTGTTGTCCCTGTTCATCAAACAAATCCCAATCTTATTTGCCTTGATAAGTTTTCAATGTTATTAGTATTGTATTTAATATACATAAATGCATGATACATATGTGATGTATGTGTTACTGTGTATACAGTATCATATTTTAAACTTTCTATTGTGCCATCATTACGTAGTAATCTGGTGTAGCATTTGAGTTTTCAAGTATATGTCCACATTACATTTGCCACCTCATCATTTTGAAATTTTTTAAAATAGTTTTCTGAGTGGCAAATTAAATAAGTCCGGACTTATAACCTAAAATAAGTTTTTTAGTTTTTAAAACTTAAAATACAAAATGCTCAAAGAGAAGAGGGGTGGCACTCTCTCAGTCACCTGTCGCAATGTCGGCAAAAATCTCACTTAAAATTAATTCTCAACATATATAGTTAAACTATGTTAGTATAGTACATTCTTGATTGTTAAAAAAAAAAACGAAAGTTGAAATGAGTCCCACTGAGAATAGAAAATTGAAATATGCCTAACTGAGAATAGAATCGTGAGAGTATATTTATATCGAAAATAAACAAGTTAAGCCATCATATAGAAGTAAAAAAGTAGCCAAATTGTCAAGCAATTTTTGTTGAATATTAGGAAGAAAGTACATTGGAAATATGAGAAAAATCACCTAGCATTTTTGTTGATTACAATTGAGAGAGAAATATGCTACTTCTTGTTGATAACTTGCACATTGATAACTATACAACCGATGGTGCAGCACTCAATTAAATATAAGAAATATTATATTTAATTTCTTAAAACCAATTCTAATTAGACTAACTTATGAGTTAGGACTCAATTTTTATAAAATACCCATTTATTTATAAGGGTTTTAAAGAGATCTTTCATCTTTAGAGTACATAAAAACGACATTTAGAAAATGTTTTTTTTTTTAGAAAATGTTTAACTCATTTTGTTAGGCATTTGAAGTACATAAAGATGCCTATAGAGTATAGCCCATTCAATTCATAACATAAAGTTAGGCTTCCTCGAGTCCCCCTCACATAGGGATGGCAATTTGACCCGCCCCGGCTGTTACCCGCCCCACTCTGCATCATTTTTGGCAGTTTTGAAAGACCGTTTTGTTTATTTGGGTGGAGATGGTTTGATATAATAAAAACTCGTACGAGTTTGGTGCGGGGGTGGGGGGAGGTCGCCCCGCATCGTTTAGAAAAGCAAATTACTTAAGTATCCTTATTTCATTAGTATATAAATTTTCCACTATATATTATTAAAAGGAAATTTGCAATGATAAAGAATTGAAAAAGAAGAAAAAAAACAAGAACAAGTCTATTTCAACAATAAATAAAATTTGGTTTTAAACGGGGCAGAACGGGTATCCGCAGGAGTAAAAATGTTAAACGGTTATGGAGATTGGGTGAAAAGTTCTCCCCTTTTTGCAGTTTTGGACAAAAACAAAAGCGGAATTTTTAAACGATTGTGAAAATAGAAGAGAATGCACCCGTCCAAACCTACTCCCGTTGTCATCCCTACTCTCACACGATATAAAAGCCCATGAACAATGGACTCCCTATAATCCCCGCGCGCGCGCGCGTGTGAGAGGGGGGGTGGGGGATAGCTTTGCTGGAGTGGAGTGCCAATTTATTGTCGGGAAGCTTCATTGATGAAAAGCAGATATCTCTCTCTGTAAAAATCAATGGGACCCTTGCATTCATTTACCTTTTCACACTTGCTAAACATTAATCACTCAAACCGAAAAGGTAAAATTACAAGTCCAAGGGTTTTTCATACGTATTTTTCTCATTACTCATAGAATTATATATATATATTTTAATTATTTTCTAAAATTATTTTCTTAATCCTTATATTCTGTAAATTAATTTCGTCCTAAAAAATCACTCTCTCTCTCTCTATATATATATATATATATAAAAATTGACTTATATGTATGTATATTATATTGTGAATATATTTCTGGCTGCTTCCCTGGAGAGTGTTGTTGTGAGCGTGCCTTTGTGATCGTCGTCAATGGATAATTGGAAAACTGCACCGAGAAGATCAGCTCGAATTGCTGAGCGTGCCGGCCCGAGTCGCAATGGCTCTGGCTTAGCTGCTGCTACTACTAATGGCCACGCGAACCCTCCTCCTAAGCTAAAAGAGGCAACTTTCTTCTTTCCCTCTTCTTATACTTGATTCATCTAATAATTATCATAGATTCCATTTTGAGTGAAATTTTATGTTGAATATTTTTGTTGATTGTTTATTATGTTCTGAAGCAAGAGGCTCTGAGTTACAATGATGCGTCTTTGTATGGATGTTTGTAAAATTTCTGGTTGATGCAAAATAAATGGTATCTTTTCTGAATTATAGTGTCACAATTCAGTATTTCATTTGTATTATTGTTTTTTCTTGTAGAGAGGATGGTAAACTTATCTCTCAAACGCACTCCAACAGGCCACAACTCAAGTACACTCTAGAACTCACACGTCAATTACTCTTAAATCCCCCAACTCAAACCACCTCACAGTTTAAATATTCTTATCATGCTTTTGAGTGTGTGTGTGTGTGTGTGTGTGTATATATATATATCTTTTTCTAATCGGCTTTTGTAGTAAAAAGATATATCAATGAAGGGGTTATGGTAGGGGCATACCTCCACTTTACAATAGAAAGAAATGGAAAAGGTCGATTTCCAAGGTGTGTTTGGGCTCTAATACATATATATTTTTTAAATGCGCAATTTGCTATTTATGATATGTGTGATTAATCTGTCAGTTTCCGTATAAAAGCATATCTGTTTGGATGATGGATTGGTAATTCACTTTCTGGCTTTTTCCAATATGAATGTATTCATGTGGAAGAACTTAATATTACTAGAGTTTAGTTTACACAGTTTAAGTCACTTTAGATGTTGTTGAAGTTGACACTATCTTCACCTGTAAACAGTACCTGCTAAGAACTAATTTTCTTAGCTTATCCCTCTAAATTACTTCCAAATGTCAACTAGATTTAATTATGTAGTGTGGAAAAGCTTTCTAGCTTTTGTGGCTCATTCTGCTGAATTTGTTTGGGAGCTTTGGGCTTTGACGGAATTGAATACAGGGGAGTGGACTAGGTGTTTTATCATTGACTTGAGTGGTCATACAGGTTTGATCGAGCTGTTATTTGATTACCGGAATGTTATATGTCTTAAGAAGGATGAATATTATGAATTACCTCTGGATCTTCGTTTTATTCCTGTTACCTCCTTAAAAAAGGGAGAGCTGGTGATCTTCCGTGGTGTAATACCATTTCAAAATTACCTTGTTTACAATGTCAAGACAGGAGAAGTTTCTTCATTTGTGATAGGTGATTGCTACGGCTCAAGCATCTTCGAACGCCATGTCAACAGCTTGGTTTCATGGAAAGTCTCTTAGTTCCTGTGTTTTTTGATCTCTACATACATCCAAGGGTCCTATTTTGCTCACCAGTGAAGTGCCTCTTGTCAATTTCTTTTTTCCAAATGTGTTTTGAGTACTAGTACTATCCTAAGGAGAATTCTAATATATAGTCATGACTTTTTTTTTTTCTTTTTCTGATCACTGAGTTGTTATCTGTCATTAGAAACTATATCTCTATTTTCATAAATTATAGCAAGATTCTGTTTTATAATAGAACCATTGGTTTCTGGATTACTTCATCTATTTGTTTTTTGGCATCAATTCGATGAAGAGACCTATGGTTGTTCCGAACTGAGTTGAGAGTGTAGGCATTAGACATGGTAGTAAGTGCTTGTCCATCTCTTAGTGCTCTAGTCATGCCTCTCTCTAGCTCTCTCTCTCACACACCTCTCACACACATTGGGTTAGGGTGCATGCATTATGTGAGTTCAAATCATCCGCACAAGCGTGTTATGCTGACAGCTATGAACACTTAAACGTGAGATTGTGTCACACGCATGACTGATAGTGACCATTTGGTATTGTATAATTCTAGATGGTAGTAATTGCTTGGCCATCTCTTGTGCTCTTTAGTCACATTGAGTTAGGATGAATGCATTATGTGAGCTCAGATCATCTACAGTACAGTACACGTGTTGTACTGTAACGGACGGTCATGATCACTCATACGTGTGATTGTATCACACGTGTGAATGATCTAAACCATCCAGGATGATAGTTCTTGATTTGCTACCTCTAGGGCTTTAGTCATATCTCAATCTCTCACTCTCACTCTCACATTGGGTTAGGGTAAATATATTTTTTAAGTCCAGAATCTCTGTAGTACAACACGTGTTGTACTGTAATGGATGGTCACGATCACAAACACGTGGTTGTGTTACATGTATGAGTGATCGTGACCATTCAGCTATATAACACGTTGACGTTACAACATTAAATCCGACACCTACAATTTTTCAGGATAGAAAACGTTTTGGATCATGTGGATGGCCTATTTATAGAGAACAAAGCTAGGTGTTTCACCTAAGAATATCAAGGTCTTGGACTATGTGGGTCATTCACCTGTCACTGCCCAATAGAAGTACTTATCAAAAGAAACAGTGAAGGGGCTATGTTGACACTTCAATTTGGCCAAACATAGTGTAGGCATTTCTCACTAACTGTAGTAGACATGGTAGCTAGTAATTGTCACCACTATTCTAGTCAAGGTATATACCCACCCACCTCTCTCTCTCTCTCTCTCTCTCTCTCACACACACACACACACACACACACACGATATTATTATTAGGTTAGGATGAATGCATTCTCTTGGATTACAAAATCACTATAGATCATGTCATGTGGGTGGCTTCTACATAGAGAACAAAGGGTAATTATGTTATATCATAGACATGAAACATTTTGGACTAGTCTGTGGGGGTGGTCACTTTCATACTTGTGTGGCATATGAAACCTAAGGGGTCTATGCTGACATTTTCATTTAGTATGGGTCAATTAAATAGGCAACATGTCCACGTGCACTTTGAAGATGTTACAAAACATTAGGTTGTCCTTGTTGACAAATGCTAGAAGACATATATGCTACAAAGTTGCTGCACCAACCGCCATTATGTATTGGCTCATAGATATATATAATAAATGAATATATGTATGCATAGCGTTTTCAAATCTTAGACTAGTCCTGGTCAGGATTCATTGTAGTGTGAACTTGTTTTAGAACATGATTTGACTTACGGAAAAAAAAAAAATCCTTTTGATAGGTATCATTCAGTGTCCGTGAGGTAGTTTGTTATAATAAATGATCATACGTCAATTACGGCATTTCATTTGAAAGAATCAATCAAATCTTGTTTGGTCTATACTGATAATTTGAGTAGACAGTAAATCTTTTGTTTTGTAAGGTTTTTTAGAATTTGAAAGCGAGAACTCCGTTCTTTATCTTTATTTGGCGTACCTATTTGAATCAGATGAAATGAAACTTTTACCTCCAATTTTGTAGGGGAGAGATCCGATAGGATCCTATCCCAAATTTTCTTTTGCTAGGCCTATACTATAGCTAAAAAACTCACTTTCTTATTATTACAAAGTTCATTTGAATATGAAACCTAATCCTAGAAATACAACATCCTACTTTTTATTTTTACTACCCAAGGCTTCGATACATTTCAAAATCGAGCGATCTCCATTGGAGTAGGTGCTATCCAAGAACAATTAGCCGATCTAAATTTACGAATTATTACAAATTATTCCTTGGTAGAATGGTACAATATTTGCTTTTACATTATTTTCATAACATGAATTATCATTTATTGTGACCAACATCACTCACTCGTTCGAGACCACATGAAAATTATTAAATATCTAATATACTTTCTATGTAGAACCTATTTCAATGAATATTCACTGTATATTTTCCATAATAAGCACCTAATTTTGTTTGGGAAGAAAAACTACTATTTCATTGGTGTCCTTGACTAGTCACAAGTTCGATTGTAAAATCACAAGTTCTATTGTACAATAATAGGTGTTACTTTATGTAAATATATACTGGTGTAAGATGGATGGGTGAGAATAACATTTATGATTTGCTTTGTTGTGGTCAATATAACATACTTGATGTGTGTCATACATCAAATATCACTACAACTGAAAGCAAACAATCAAATGACCATCACTTAACAGCTTTTACTCATTTTTCCACTTTCTTTTGTTTTTACTACTCTAGCACAAACATCAAACTAGTTTAGAAAGATCAAGGAAAATGATTATTATCCTTTTATTTTTCTCCTCTAGTGAGAATCAAGAAACCCCATGACCCACAAGAAGACCAAAAAGAAGAACTTAAGAAAAAAAAAGAAAAAAAGAAACAGATTCAACCACAAGCCAAAAACTTGCACATCCACTACTCAATGCCATTCATCTTCCTCAACATGATCACTATCTCATAAACCTTTTGAGGGCATGGAAGATATTTGGCAACACTTTCCCTCTCCATGCATTTCTTCATCCAAGCTGAGAATTTGTGACATTGGTCCTCAACCTTGAAACCCCCAAATTTCTCATAGGCATAGAACCAACTGGTCATGGGAATTAATATGATGTCCACAAAACCAAAGCTATCACCACCAAAGTAGTCCTTTTCTCCCAAAGCTCCCTCTAGCTGCTTCAGAATCTCTATGAAGTCCTTCTTTGCCACCTCTAGTTCCTCTCCTTTGCCCATCCAAATATTCCTACCCGCGTCAAATACCTGCATATTGATGACGTGAACACTGACATATAGTGATAGGATTCACTAAAATAAAAATGATATAATTGACTGATGACACAGTTGATACCAATAACACGGTATAATCATAAAAGCATCACCTATCACGAATGCATGGCACACATACATGTGTAAGGATGGATGCATGCAACTTCTTATAGTTAATGATGATGTTGACAATTGCATTTGTTGTATTGGTGCCTAGAACTTCTAGCCTTAGGACATTAGTATAAACCATATGTGTGTTGACAATTGCATTTGTTGTATTGGTGCCTAGAATTTCTAGCCTTAGGACATTAGTACAAGCCATATGTGTGTATTTACGCACACATACTTTGTATTTTTTTTTTTTTTTTTTTTTCTTTCTTTCTTAATTAATACTCACACACACTCAGGTTTGCACCACTAACTAAGGGTTTGATACCACTAAGTTACTGGCCTGTTGGTACGCACACATATTTTTATTCAACCAAAATGCATGCATGGTTACTCTAGTAAGACTAACTCAAAATGGTTGTATACAAAATTGAAAACTAGAATTCAACCTTCTTGTCAATGAAGTCAGCCCAAAACCGGGCCTGAGCTCGCCCATATGCACAAGGTGGCAGCAATGGCGGTGAAGGCCAGGCCTCATCAACATAGGCAACAATGTTGGTGGACTCAACGACAGGTTTCCCGTCATGCAATAACACCGGAACCTTTTGGTAGATAGGGTTTGAATTGAGCAGCAGCTCACTCTTCCCTCCAAACAAGTCCTCCTCTTGACCTTCGAATGCGACGCCTTTCTCAGCCAATGCAATTCTAACCCTAGTGGCAAAAGGGCTAGCCCAGAAATCCAAGAGAACTACTTCTTTTGTTGGCATCTTTGTAAAACACAATCTATATCCTTTTGAATTGATGTATGTAGATGTTGCAACATGTGTAAGAGGTAGTTGTTTATATAGAAGAAAATATTATAGCATGATTTGGAATTCCAATGGTTTCTTTGGTTACTCCTCCAAAGAAGAAGCATAGGTATTGTCACTCAATAAAAATCTGATATGCTTGGCATTATGCAATTACAAGTATGGATCTTGGGGCGGCAAGTTGTTGGCATTGGTTTTTTCTAGGCCTTGTGCAATTAATTTTGACAAATTCTTGGTTTTTAGGTCAAAATCAAGGAATAGATAATTGGATTAAAACCAATTAAACTGGTGTTAAGTTTGGTTCAAGTTGACTATTGTATAAGGATTTTGTTCATTTCAAATAGGACCTATAATGGACATAAAACGCATTATACCTCAAACCGGCGGGTTAATCTATTCCAAAACTTAAGAAGACAAGAACTTAAATCAAAATACTTACTAGCATAGTGATAGTAATTCAACTTAAAATTTTGGAACAAGAATAGGACATGGTTCTTGCTTCACTTACAGTACTGTGACTTAACATCCATGTCAAATCCGGATGCAAAGAGTCTTGGACTTATATGAGAACAATACCCAATAGCTTGAGTTTTGGGATTAAGAGTTATAATTGGTGGTAATTGGTGATTGAGTTGATCCATGCACGGGTCCCAACAGTGGTCCAGTCTTTGATGGTAACTGAAGATTGAGTTGATCCATGTACGGATCCCAACAGTGGTTCAGTTCTTGATTTGGCCAGTCGAAACTGGTGACTGATAAATTTCAACAGTGGTTTAGTCCTTGATTTAGCCAGCCGGAAGTGTTTCGAGTCTCCAATCATAATGAGAGCATTGCGAGTTCAAAAGAGAAAGAACATAGGGGACTTTTGTCCCACATCAGATCCCATTGGGCTTGCTTATCGAAAGAAAAATCCAAGTGAAAATTTAATTTAGTGTTTTTACTGTCTAGTGGTTCATTAGCGCAAATCAGCTATTAGTAGAGATAATCACCGTCCATCAACTCAAGAATTAGTTGTTGAGCCTCTCTTGATCATGTCAAAGGACTTCTTAAACTGAACCATCCTTGTATCACTTTAAGCTAATCAAGCTACAACATTTTGGTCTTTTCATGGTTAATAGAGAGCTGATTTACTTTCCTTTGATATAAATGTACTCTTTTTTCCTTCTTTTTTTCCTGAATTTGAATAACAACTGTACCCTTAATACTTGATTCTACATTATGAAAGTGGAATGCATTCAGCGCAAAGAGATAAGAAAATGAATTATTGACAAATTTTAATTTGCTGTACAATTCTATACATGAATGAGAGATTTTCTAGTGCCTGAAAAACTAAGTCACTGAAATGATATGGTGCAAGACATGAAACTGTACGTGTCACATAGTAATTGGTTCAGTAACTTTGACGTAAACACAAACGTGGAGAAAATGCTCAGGGTTCATCAAGTTGTTCACCACCCAGGTAAAAGGGATCTCCAATTTTGGCTCAATCCCTTGAATGCGGACGAGTTTGATCTCAGCATTATCCGATGGGCACGACTCCAATTGTTCACACAATGTTTCCCCTTCTTCTGAAGGCGATTTCTGTTCATCCTCAACTTCTGTTCTCGATATTTCATCGATGTTCAAGGGTTTGCTGTCGAAAAGCTCAGGCAGAAGAGTTTTCACTGCATCGCGTAAAGTGTAGCATTTACCTGCAGAACCTAATACATGAAAATGTAATTCCCAAGTCAAAAAACAGGCAAATGGCTCATGATTCACATTTTTCTGTTTCTTTTTTCATAAGTAGCACACGATACACATTTTCTCTTTACTCTTTTTCTTTCCTTTTTTCATTTTCATTTTTTAAAAAATAAATAAGAGAAACTCCATCCAAATGAAGATCATCTTTTTCCACATCATAATCTAATGGATTTAATCTATTAATAATATTGAAAGGCAACAACTAAAATCACCACATGCATGCACTTCTAGCAAGAGATTCCTTCAAAGAGGGGGTAAAAAATAATATGAAAACTGCAAGATGCAGGTTACCTTCTCCATGAATCTCAACAGGTCGGTTTATATAAGAGATTTTGTCCCAAGTATCAATAGAAGGTGCGTCTTCTAAATCATCAAAGTCTCCATTGACACTCCAAACATACAATCGAACTGGAATTCTACCTGACCAATGCTTAAACCATATGAAAACAGACATCAATACAACCAAAATTACAAATTCAACAAATAATTAAGAAAAAGAAACATAAAGAAAAACAATTGAAACCAAGATAAGGGTATGGTCGCTGTTCTAAGTTTCCCAATCAAAGATAATTGACATGAATTTTTTACCGAGAAATTTTAAATAAATATAATAGACAACATACCGGAACTGGGAGATATATATATATATATATATACTTGTACTATATTTGCTCATCCAGCCAAGCCAATCCAGTTAATATGGTTTCATATTGCACAAATCATGAATCGAAGCATCAGGAATCTTACCACACCCATAGATCATGCGCCTCTATGAATATAATTTCACAAATAAAATGTCTCTCTGCTTTCGATCCCAGCGACACATGGAATCATCATCATCATCCTTGCCTTTTTCCCAAACAAATGGAGATGGTCATATGAAATCTCTTTTTCCATTCTACTATATTACACGCCAAGTCACCTCTTAAATTCCATTTCTTAAAGTCTTTTTAATTTACTTCATCCCCCATTAGTTTTGGTCGGCCTCGTCTCCTCATTTACTTAAGTTTTTAGAATCATTTTTAATTACTTCATCCCACATTAATTTGGGCTGGTCTTGGTGTCTCTTATTTTATATGCAAACTAATCTTCCTTTTTTACAGGTGCATCTACGGTTTACGTTCTCTGTCTCCATACCATACCTAAGCCTACTTTATCATTTTTTATCACTAATAGACACCACTCATAATCTCTCACCCACAGTGTAAAACTGTCACTCCTATTATCTACTCCAACATTCTCATTTCAGTTTAATAAGTGTTTTGTTCTTGTTTCTTTTTTTAAAACCCAACACCGTTTCATATAACATAGCTGTGCCTAATGACCATCCTATAAAATTTCCCTTTCTACTTGGCTAGTATTTTTTTCATCACATAGGATACCACTAGCATGTCTCTATTTTGTTCATCTCACTCCCAATCCTGCTAGTAATATCATCATCTATATTCCTTTTCTTTTTGACCCTAAGTATCGAAAATGATTACTTCAAGTAACCTTTTGGTCTTGAATTGCTATTAGAATAATATTACTTTCCAAGCCTTTAATGCATTTAAATTCCATATGTTCCTAGTTATTCTTTCTCTAGACTTCTAATCCCTTTCGTTTCTAATGCATTTCTCCAAGTTCCGAATTTTGTTTCCAAGACTTCCTTAGAAGCATCCAAGGACACTATGCCATCAACAAACAACATGCACCATGGGATGTCTTCTTGTATATCTTTCGATATATCATCTAAGACTAGGGTAAAATAGGTATGGACGAAGCACTGATTCTTGGTGCAGTCCAACTTTTATAGATAAATTTTTAGTTTCCCCACATATGGTACGGACAGCAGTCTTTGTATTCTTATACATATGCTTAATGATAATTATATACTTAAAGGGACTTGTTTTCTTTATAAAGCACATGAAATTATATCCCTCGAAACCCTATCATATGCATTCTCTAAGTCTATGAAATCTATGTGTGAATCGGTTTGTTTCCTTCTACATTCTTCTATCAATTGCCTAATTAATAAATGGCCTCCACAGAATTTACCAGGCACAAATCCAAATTGGTTTTCCGACACTGGTTTCATTCCTTAATCTTTGTTTTATAATTCTTTCCCACAATTTCATTTTATAACTCATTAATTTAATTGCTCTATAACTACCACAATTTTGTATATCACCTTTATTTTTGTAAATTAGTATGATCATATTTTTTCTCCATTCATTAAGCATTGTTCTTCTTTTATTTTTTGATAAAATAAATCTGTTAGCAAATTCTATTCATACTTTTTCTGGACTTCTCCAATCTTCTATTGGTATGTTATCAGCCCTACCAATTTATTATTACCCATCTTTTTTAAGTGCATCCTCTATTTCGTAATTATTGATCCTATTTATCATTTCTGTATTATGTTCATCAATTATAATTTCTTCTTTAGAATTTCTCATTATGTTGTCCAGTAACACGGCATCTCCCACCAAAATGAGCTAAAAAGAACAAAGGTTGTTTGCCAATGAATTATGAACAGACAGCACGGATCAATAACATTAATAAATTTGCATAATAATGCAACCCTCCTTACTATCCTCACTCCTCCAAATTACTTTGATTTTTTTTTTCCTAGTTAAAATTACTTTGAATTATTTATTTCTAAAGGAAAAACCATAAAAAGTTCAATGCTAATGAATAAATTGTTAACTAATTCAAAGGTCATACAATGTGTATCTTAAAATTATGTGGACTTCTCTCACCTGTTTTGACTGGTCCAGTAGTATCTGTCTCAACTGTGCTTTGTCCGCTTTTTAAAGTGAGTGAATTCAGTTTCGCTAAAAGCTCCTCTCCACCCGTTCCAAGTTTGAGCTTAGATGAAACCCGGAGGTAGGCTTCCAAGTTCCCTGCCACAAAATTTTGTGTTGGAATTTGTTAAGTGATCAAATAAAAAACGATGTACCAAGAACCTTATTATCAGGTCCCTTCTGCTGTTCCAGAACCTTGTTATAAAATATAAAATGGTTCAGCAGTGCTGCATAGACATATTTCTGATGTAAGGTCACACATTTACATATGTTTATATGCATGAAACTAGAGCATAAATGGCCATAAACCATATCACACATTTGTGTTTCCATTTATTGTCTTTCCATTGTAAGAAAACAATATTTAGCTTTCTTCATAACCAGCTTCGACCATATTTAACTTGTAAACCCCAGCCACAGAGAGAGAGAGTTTGCATTCCAACATTAGTCCCACGACTGCTATAAAACCTTTTCAAGGTAAAATTATACCGAATGGCCAGACTGACACCAGGATCCACAACAGATTCACAAATCTACCTTGAAGTGCACTATAGCATGCAATTTATTTAACCTGTTTGATTAGGTCTAATCAGTCTTCTTGGTGGAGCTCCTGAGTAGTTTACCATAATCTTAACAGTTCTCAAATTATAATCTTAAAGTTTGTTGCCTCAGCTTCAGTTAAGAAGAATGAGCTTTGATAGTAGAACTGATTGTAATTATGGCTGTTATTTTTCTAGTATGGATAGCTTCAACAAATGATTTGTCATGTTTGTGTCGTAATACTCATAAAAAGAAAGATGAGAAAAAAAGCAAAAAATAAAATAAAATGAAACTAGTCCTGATTGTTTAGTATGCATACCATTCAAGACAGCACGCCAAAGTTCCACTTGATCATTTTGGGACATATTCATGACATTCTTGCAGTTCCCATAGATTATATATGCCGCCTGTGGATAAATCTAACTATTGTTGAGATCAAGGCAGTCAAACTAATTGACAAAGCATAATCATTAAATCATTTCCACAGATTGAAATACATACGAAGTAGAAGCTGTTCCACGAATTATAATAAGGGCTAAAGCACAGGCAACTTCAATAAACTCTCATTTATGTCTTTACCACATACCAGTAAGCTGCGTCAGTCTCATTCTCTTTTCTTTTTCTTTTACTTTTTTTTTCCTTTTTTTGGCCGTCAAGTGTCAAAATTTTGGTACAACCTTTTGTTTTAATATGATCAAAGGAGATTATATAATAAATAATATTTATAAAAAATAGAATCAATCTTAATTACACTTATTTGAAAGGGGGAAAAAAGAGAATTTTTTTTTTATAAGTAGCAATGATGACAAAAACATTTAAAATCTACATATAAATAGTCAATTATCAAAAAAAAAAAAAAAAATCTACATATAAATAGTCAATTATACAAGTATACTTTGTGAGGGATCAATAATCAAATTTTTTTGGGGGAAAAAATATATATATAGATATGAATTCTAATATACAGATGGAACACAGAATACATGGCCAGAGAGACAACACACAAGAAAGGCCCTGTGTTCCTTCTCAGAAACAGGTCCAGTTTTCTTGTACTTGTAGTGCTAAATAAAAGGTCCATGAGCGGTAAAGAACTTCTTGCTGCCCTGCTTCAATCTTGCATCTTTGGCTTGTTCAAATACTTCTAAAATAAAAAGCAAGAAAATACAATCAAGAATCTCACGAACAGAAAGGCTACGACACTGGCATAAACGGTGCATTGGTTCGATCCTACTATAAATAATAACAATCACAGGTTGTGACTCACGAAATGGGGAAGTATTACTCGCTGCCATTTGGGCTCGAAAGCAGAGGTAGGAAGAAGTCCTTTCCAAAGATAGGAGTAATTAGTCTTTGATAAGGTCACTAGCTGACTACGCGATATCATGAAGGTCCGATAGAGACGCAATTTACATTTAAGGGGAACTCACTAGACCATTCAAAAAATGCTACGGAGTATCATATAACCAGAACAAGTATTAATTGCTTCCACATTCAAATGTTTGAGTTCCAGCTCCCAAATGCTGAAGTACTTACAAAGTTAACTACATCTTTATGAATGGAACACTCCAGGACAAGAGATAAAAGCAAGGTGAAAACTTTTTCTAACATATGGTCAGCCTAAATAAATAAGACAATTTAATACCAAAAGAAAAAGGAATAAGTACAAAAAATAAAGGAAACAATTATACCCTAACCTCTTTCAATGAATTGATAAAGCTCCATTTGACGCTGTCTTCACCCTCACAAGGGGTCAAAATACTTCCTGGGTATCCTCTAAAATGTACCTGCCGAAGGAAGATCCTAAATTTGAGTTCCAACCAGAAAATGTTGAGATGTATAACAGATTCCAACTTATTTCATCGTTTGAGAGGTTACAAATTATCAAGATTATGTACAGCAAAAAGGTTTCAGGACGCCATCCAAGGCTGTCTAGCCAACTTCAAAGTAAATAAGTAATCATAACAAAACGAAATGGCTTTGGTAATCAATCTACCATTAATACTAATCATTCACATAGCTGAATTTCATAGATTTTATTTTTTTAAAATAGTTTGGATTAATTTTTTATTTATTTTTAAATACGGGACATTTGGATAGAATCAACTCACTCCGTTAATTAGCATGCAGAACCATTCGGTTGCTTATAGCAATTAAAAACTTTGTATTGCACAACGTCTACAGAACATATTTTAGGATTTTTGTGGGAAACCATTAATAAATTGAATACTTATCTGAAAACGATTCTCGACATACTGGAATGAAGATTTTATATGACTCCATTCCAAAACAGTATATTGTGCATTCAAATTCTATGCGACCCTTCGATAAGACTCTTCACCCTCAATAAGTAACAATTCAGACACTGACATACGTAATAAAAATAAATAAATAAATTTAAGGGTAAAGTGCAACAAAAAAAATTCCTGCCACATAAAAAATGTGCAAGAAACACCCCTGCTATTTAGTATGTGCATATAAATCCCAATAATTTGAAATTTTGTAGCAAATTGACTCCTAATCGTTATTTTTTTACAAAAACCCCAAAGTACCCTTAATAAAATTTGTGCGTATAAGTGTTTTTTTATTTATACTTTAAGGACATTTTAAGTATTTCAGTCTTCAAATTGAGAAAACGTCCTTATTTGCTCAATTTGAAAAAGATTTGCACATTCTGTATATAGCAGGTTTTTTTTTTTTACACTTTACCCTTTTTTAAATTTAAAAACATGCAGACCTTGTTTTGCCTTAATACATATGAATTCCATAGTCCACACAACATATACACAAATACAAACACGTCCTGCTTGGACACATGGAAGTATGCAATACATACACTTGTGCATAAATATGACAATTGTTTGAGGTTCCGTAAATGATAGACAAACATAGCATGGATTATTTATCTTCAAGGATTGTCCAAAAACCTCCCTGATATTTTGGAACAGGTAACCAGTTTACCCGTTCACCCCCAACCCCCAGAATGATCTGCCCAACAACTAATTCCCAGCTCTGTCCCTTTGTATGTCAAGAACTCATATGCTGGAATCCTGCCAAAGGCATTCTGCTCTACAGTTAATACATACATTTGCAGCCAAATGAATCTGCATAAATAGTTTTTTTTTTTTTTTTCTTTTTTACTTTTTGAAAATTCCTTCAATATAATATTTTTGAACCGTTACGTGAAAGGTTTCTAGGTGGCAGTTAATATACCCAGCACCAAGGTAAGTTGTTGTAGGGACACCTTCAGAACTAACTACCTTTTATGTAATAACATGACATTTTATCTCCTAATTGTAAAGGCAGTCTCATCAGTTTATTTGTTCAGTCAAAACTTTAAAAAGAAAAATTCATTAGTGAGTAAAAAGAGTTGCCAAGATGCATTTAGAAACTTTATACCGTTAGGTTCCATGGTCTTTCAGGTTCTGCACAAAGAAGATCAAAAAGAACTCCTGTCGGTATATACCTGAAAGAAGCATGCATAATACTAATCAATGAAGGCACATCTCAAGAAATGAGATCACAGGTGCAACTAATATAATGTCTTGAGACTTCACAAAACAGTGTGAAAAAGCATCAGGGACTACTCTAAACTATTACAGGCCATCATAATTTTTCACCCACAAATCCTTTAGCACTACTTTTCTGAATGTGGCACACAGCACAATAAAATATACCTAGTAGTTAATATCAGAGAGCCAATATTCAACTCAAATGGTAGCTAACATCAAAAAGCCAATATTTAACTCAAATGAGGAGGGAAATGTCAGAATAACTAATTAGCATATATTTACCTTTTGTTTTTTCTGCTAGACAGCTATCATACTTTTCCCCCAGCAGTCAACATATTTCTTAATATGCACCATAAGGCTACTTCATTATGTAGTTTTATGAATTTGCAAAAAGGAAGCTCATTAGCTTGAAAATGTGTCCTTACCTAAATTCTCTTTTACACACACACACACACACACATATATATTTATATTTATATTTATATTCTGCCCACCTATTCATTTATTGATTTTTTGTTAATATTCTTCAGGATTAATCCATGCTTCATAAAGAGCAAGGCCTCGAGTATGAATCTAAGCCTTTGACATCTAAAAGTATTGTTTAACATAGATAACCCCAACATAAAAGTAAGCATTTTTTTTGCAAAAGATACTAGGCTTGAATGATATACACTTCTAGAAAGAAGCTTGACCTCCCTCAACCACGCCTTGCAATTGTGCAAATAACTTTCAGCATAAGAAACCACGACATTTTGTTTAACAGCTAAATAGGCAAAAGTCAAAACAGATACTGATGAGCATGATATTAAAATAAATATTAAATTTTCATTCTGACTAGGCCCATTCACCAACTGAGCAGTTATGTTCAAAATTTGGGTTTGTGTATGGGTGTGATTTATGCAAAATTTTACGCCAAACAAACACAAATAAATAATGAGCATCTCAGCCACGTGATAGTCATTTTAAAATCATATCCAAAAGATGAATAGAAAAAAAGTCACTTCTTGCTCCTAAAGACTCTCCAAGATTTGTTTTACACAGTTCCCGCCACATGATTATGCTACTTTTTCAACTTTAAGTGAATAATCTCATACTGCTAAGGAATTTCCACATATGACATGATGCATTTTCTCAATCAATAATGCAATTCAATAGTATTTTCTTATAAAACAATAAAAATCAGTAATGCTTTCTCAAAACACATTATTATCATACCACTTCAAAGGCAACCCTTTGTAGTCAAACCATACAGTATCTACCCCAGGTGGAAGTGAACTGCTGAAGAAGGGCTTAATGTGCGGAACTAACAAAGGCAAGTATCCTATCCGTGGAGCTAAGATCTGAAATCAAAGTTGAAATCGAAATTTAATTACCTGAAAAAGAGTTTAAAATGTTGAACAAATACTCTATAGGATGCCATGCTTGACCAAATCCTGGAAAAATGTATATGCATATGCCATCACCATGGAATGGCATCTATTCTATTTATTGGGCACACGGGTAGAGATTGTCTCTTCATTAAGGGAATCAGTAGATTTCTTCTGCTCGACCTATTTGGCGATTGATATTTATTTATACTTTATGGATGTCATATGACAAGCGTGGGTGGAAAGACATACATTGAGCAAAATAATAAATAATAAACTAAGGAAAAGTAGTAAAAAATAGCATAACACTAAAATAATTACAACACGAGATTATGCAGCATGGTAGTGCTTTACGGTTAAATTCTACAGAACCAAAAGCATCCGAATATATGTAAATATATATATATCATTACAAACTGTATACTCAGTCAAAAAGCCAATTTGATGTAAAGCTGCAAATAAGAGAAAGGGAAATCTGGGAATATCAGATGGAGCTTGCCTTAAGTTTGAGTGATCAAGCTTTGAATCGAATCTGAATCTCAATATATAGTTATTTTAGGTTCACACTACTGGTGGTTACATTTTTTACGTTTCAATGTCTCATTAACGATATGAATCAAACCCTCAACCCCACCACTCCCTCTTACAAAATCATGTCAACACCTAAACATTGCAATATAATATCTTCAATCAGATCACTTCATTTGGAAAAGAAAAGAAATGGAGGGATAACTATTTTCATGTTTGGTTTACCATTGGGGAAAGAAAACAAAGGAAAAGGAGAGATTTGGAGGTTAGCTTAACCCCTCATATTGAATTTTTGCTATCCTTCCAAAAGTGGGAGGCAGTATTTGGAGAGAAAGGATAGGCACTTCAATGAAAATTTTAAACTACTGAAACTATCCTTAAAATTTTTAAGAAGGAAAAATAAAAGACATTTGAGTCCCCTAGGGAATTATATCGATATTCTTTTCTTCACAGCCCCTTTCATTTTTCACAAGTGCAGCACATCACTCCCAGAGTTCTCTTCTCCAGGTCCCACATCACTCCATTTTAGGCATCCTCCATTTCTTTTCTGGTGATTTTCTTTCTTCTTTTTTTTTTCTTTTTTTTTTTTTTAAGTCACACAATCACTGCTCCGGCTTCCCTTCCACAGCTACTGTTGTAATACACGACCTGATATTCAACTAAATGATGCAAGTATTTAACCCTTACCAGCATCTATCTTCACCAAACCCACCCAGAGTCCGCAGGTGATCGCTGCTATAAAACAAATGAATATGGCAGCGGCACATGTACACAATGATACCCCACACTCCAATATTAGTCATCCCCACATCACCAATCTCAGTTTCAATTTGTGGGCATTCTCTCCTAATTAATACTTTGCCTGAGCAATATTAAATCTCACTCATCTTCTCAACAAAGATACCTAAATAGCATGCAACCTATGTTACATGGAGCACTCTTCAAAAGTAGTGAAGTAACCATGTCGGACACATACTGCTCGGACATGGGTATGAAAAATGTGTCTGGCACTTTTGGTTGGACATGTACTTAAAAAACATATCTAATCATTTAATTTAGTATTATTGTTACTTTAAAATGAGTTAAATGCCAATATTGAACACTATGTTACATAAAACATTACTTTACTCTAGAAAATAAAATAAAATAATTAAACAAAATGAAAATTTAGCCGGGTCCATGTATCCTTGTGTTTGGAGATTTGACACATCTGACGCATGGATACATACCCCTGCCCAACACACGTACCCAAGTCCATGTAACATAGCATGCAACCAAGTTGATGAACACCTCAATTCATTAGTCAGTTCAGTCAAATGTCAAGTTATAAGGTTCAGAATGTTACTAAATCACTAACAGGACACTGACTATATATTTACCTTATGCTATCACGGAAACCTTAAATATATATATATATATATATATAGGTTGTTCATGGAAGATGTTGATCAGCCAGAAGTTTGTGAACAGTTGTTATTGGATATGTGTTTTATTTTGTAATATAAATACAAAAAGGTAGAGAGAGAAGTAAGTAAAACAAAAAACAAAAGGGTATGATAGTAAAATTAATAAAATAGTTTCTTTTCTTTTCTCTTCTTTACCTTTTCCAAATAATAAAACAGGTTGTTGTTATCCTTTCCCTTCTTTTCCTTCATAATTTATCCAAACATGAATACAAGTTATTGTTATCCTTCTTTTTTTTTCCTTTTTTTTTTTTTAACAAGTAAAGATTGTATAAAGAAGCGTTCAAAAGGGGAACGCATCCCTCAGAAAATACACAAGGCCTAATAGGGCCTCTAAACTCTCAGGGAGTCCAAAAAATCAACTATCTCTTCCATGGATTAACAATATCTCTCAATAACCCAACAAAAAAGAGTGCTAATAATAGAGAATTTTGACTCCCCCATAGGAATCTCCTTTCCTTCAAAGGACCTCCTATTTCTTTCAAGCCATAAACACCACCAAATGCAAAGAGGCGTAACCTTGTTATCTTATATTTTCTTTCTTTTTTCCATCTTGTTTATCCAAATGAAGCTTTTAAAGTTTAGTAGTCAAAAAGAATTTTTGTAATTCCAAATTTGTTTGACAAGGACAGCAGTGGTCCATGGGTCTATTTTCAGGTCAAGTTATTTTATTTGATCTTTATATGTAATCTTTAGCAGATCTAGGTAATCTTATTAGTAAAAGAGTCAAAATTACCTATATTTAAGTAATAGTCCTAACAAGAGTAAGAAAAAACTAGCAATGGAGATGAGTCATGAAAATTTAAGGGTGTGCTTGGGATGTGAAGCATAAGAGGCTCTAGGTAAGATCCCAATATTTTTCTTTTTCTTCTCTTCTTATCCTAAATTACCAATCTCGAGTTATAGTCAAAGCGTTAGTTCAACTTCAACTATTTCATTCAGCGCCACCAAACGAATCCCCAATCAGCCTTAAGATTCTTAACCCGTTCTCCTAATTATTGGCCTTTTTTTCTTTCTCTTTTTTTTTTTTTTCTTAGTTGGTACTCACACAAATATGTCTCCACTGAGGCTTGAACCTCTGACCTCCCTTTGGAAAGCAGGAACCTAATACCGCTAGGCCACTGTCCTGTTGGTATTGGCCTTTTGTTTAATAGTAAAAAAATACTTGCTGCCCAAAGAAACAACACTTTTTTTGTGTCTGAATCTCCTGCAACCGATTACTTTTAAAACAAAGCCAACCTGTGTCATCTACAATCCCTATATTTTTCCTTTTACAGCTGATGGAGATGAGTAGCAACAACCTTTAAAGGTGTATAAAAGGCGTGGAAAGGAGGTTCTATGCCTTGATTTGGCATCTGCTAGATGATGTGGGGCCCACTTGGAACCTCGAATTATTAGGGTTTTGCTCCCATTGCGCCATTTATGAGCTTGGTGGGCATTATAATGCAACCAACCCAGGTCTTTATTTCCTTTTATTTATATTAGTTAAGAATTAGAAGAGTTGTGAGACTTTTCTATTATCACCATTACGATGAAAGTTGCAACTCTTTTCTATTAGCACCATTATAATGAAAGTCAAAAAGTCATGAGTTAAGAGTTTTGGTCTTATGGACTAGAGACTACCTCCATGTAATTCTGAGTCGCAAGTACAATTCCTATAAAGGAATGCGGTGTAATATTTGTTGAATCAAGGAATGAATAACAGTTGTCCAATGGAATTTCCTTGTAAGTGATTCACTAATACGAGAGTGTGAAACCTGCTCTAGGTGTGAAATATAGGACTAATGTAGGCTGATTTTAGTTCAATTCCTTTCTCTTTGATTTTATATTCTGCATCTCCACCATAAAACCTCGAACTCCAGCCCTGATTGCCTGAATTTCAGTTAAGTTCCTCCTCTTGAAGTCCTACATCAACAGCCTTGACTCTACAAGCTTTTTATAATCATGCCTCGCATAAACTAATAGTATATAGTAGTAGCATTATTCCAAGTTCCAATTTTCCCACATTAACCTAGTACATAAGCTAAATAATCCTATCATTTGATATAATTATTCTTCTATTCTGCTATCGCAATGGTGACGAATGGTGAACTAAATTCAAGGTTTGAAGCTTTATCTTGAGATCAAGAGGCACCATGGATTCAATTTTAGAGCCCACAGCTTCGGTTAAAACTCTTTGAAGGCTATTTGAAGGCTATTACAAATTTACAGTTGCGAGTAAGAATTTCGCTCAAACAAATATGATCTTATAAGTAGATGATTCTTTTCCGACTTCAATCTCGATTAGACCTCAAAACTGACTACCCTACATTGAAAATAGACCTGAAAACTTGAAAAAATACAACTGAGTATAGAAAGAATTCAAACAAATAATGAGAATAGAGTTCAAAATCACATTCAATTCCATATAAATTCAAATCGAAGAAACAAAAACAATAATAACAGTAAAGTAGATCAGAAAGAGGATTGATTGTGTGAAGATGAATTTGGAGTACCAGAGCGGGTTGAGGGGGAGGTAGAGTGGTGACTTCGGATTCGTCGAGATGAATCTGCAGCGGAATCGATCCTTCCCAAACGTACTTCTGCGCTTCCGTTCCTCTATCCATCTCTCCTCCTCTTCGATTCTAGAGAGAGAAAGAGATGTAGAGGGAGGCATCGACTGTTCATGTCACTTAAAAGGTTAACCCCACACTTCACGCTACTTTTTTTTTTTTTTTTTTTAATTCTTCTTTTGAAATATAAATAAATAAAATAGAAAGTTTTTTTTTGGTAAATGAAAAAATAAATAAAAGTATTCAACCTACGATAATTTAAAATTATTTTCCTCATCTAATTTTATAAAATTAGCCAACTAATCATTAATCACCAAATTCAGAATTTAATTCAAATTTGTGCATAATTTTTATAAATCCCAACTAAAGCACTTTGTTTTTTACTAGATTATAATATTATATGTAATGATTGACCTAATTAAAGTTTTGAGTCACTTATTCAATTTTAAATTATTAAATTGTTAACAGCAGGTTTGGATCTAGGAAGTTGGATAAAAATTAAAATATTAAGAATATCCAAATAAGTGAATATATGAAAATGATATGACAACTGTGTGTGTATATAGATAGGGAAAAAAAAATTTGTACGGAATAGTTGGAATAAATTGTTAGATTTACTTTTTTGATTAGTTAATTATGCAATAAATACGATAATAGAGCCCTCCACTTAATTATATTTGGTATAAATAGTCAATTAAAAAATATTCAATTAAAGAATGTATTGTCTTGTGAGTATCACTACTCTGTGTATATATATATATTATATATATCATTTTTTTTTTCTTTTCTTTTCTTTTCATTTAGTAACAAAAATTTTGACGGTTTGGACTTTGGATGACAATAATTTTTCATAATCATTTAACTTTTTAATAAAAATTTCTCATAAATGCGCATAAAATTATTACTTAATTAAAAACTTTGTACCATCATAATTCAACCTACATTTATATTCTTTATATATCAATGATTACATCTCGAAAATGAAATATTATGCATAGTTTTTTTTTTAAAAAAAATAGTATAATAGTACATATTTCTTTATCTAAAAATTCCAACGTCCATCAAAATTATTTTATGCTTAAAATTTCAATTTCTTTTCTTTTAAATGCCAAAAAAAAAATATTCATTTTAAACCCTAACAATTATTTTTTCTTTTTTCACTTTCTTCTAAGTAATTTTTATTCCCCACCCAACAAAATGTTAATATTATCTTTTGCACCGCTACAGTGAGCTCACGATTGATCACCGTCTTCTTCTGTAGCGCTTACAAACATCTCTCTCCTCTCCCCTCTCCCCTCTCCCCTCTCTCTCACACACATTTCAGGTACATCTCTCTCTGTCTCTCACACACACATTTCAGGTTATTCTGTTGTTGTACCATAGCCATCACTTGGACCACTCTCTTCATTCACAAGCGATAAATTCCTATTCCAACCACCAACTCATCGCCAAATCCAAACCCTAAAAACCCGATCTTCACCACTGCTACTGATTCATTACACCCTTTTCCGATGTCATGAGTTGCAGAAAGAAAACACCTTTCGAATCAAGGTACAAATTTTAACCCTAACCCTAATTCTAACCCTACAATTCTCAATCATTCACATGTGGGTTTGTTTCTGCGATCTGAGAACACCTATCAAGAAATGTTAGGGGCCGTCCAATTCGGTGCATTGGCGGCCTGTGTTGTCCTCTTCGTGCCGATGGGAATGGCCGGGTGGCACCTCAGCCGCAACAAGATGCTCTTCTTCAGCGGAGCCCTGTTCATCACTCTCGCGGTAGGTGTTCATCTCACCCCTTATTTCCCATCCATTTCCAGTTTTGTATCATCTGTATCTTCAGTAGTAGTGTTAGAGAATCGCGATTCTTGCATTTCTTTACTCCATGATATTGTATACGATGTCAAATTGAAACCAAGTAGGGGTGTTGAGAATTTGAGTAATGTGTCGAATCATGAAGAATTGTGGAGTTGGTCGAGATCTGCACCTGTCATGGCATGTGGGTTTCAGAAATTAGGCCGGTCTGATGCGTCCGATCTGCTTAACGGGTCGTGGGTGGTTGTGGCCGGGGACTCACAGGCGCGGTTGGTTGTGGTTTCTCTGTTGAGTTTGGTTTTGAGATCGGAAGAGATGGATTTGATTCGGGGTGGTTTGTTTAAGCGGCACAGTGATTATCAAATTGTGGTTGATGAAATTGGAATGAAATTGGATTTTAAATGGGCACCCTATGTATCGAATATAACTGATTTGATGATTCAATATAAGCAAAGTAAGAATTACCCTGATGTTTTGGTGATGGGGGCTGGATTATGGCATATGTTACATGTGACAAGCTCGTCGGATTTTGGTGATTCTTTACGAGTGTTGAGGGACTCAGTGGTCCCTTGGCTACCCATTTCTCCAGAGTTCAACACCGATGGGCCAGTGACAGGATCTGTTTCCATTCAATCCCCACACCTGTTTTGGCTCGGTCTGCCGATGCTTATAAACTCCATGTTGAATACAGAGGAGAAGAGGGAGAAGATGACAGATGCAATACAAGTTGCTTATGACGAAGAGCTTTATAGAAGTAAGCTCTTGCGCCAATCTGGTGGCCCACTTTTATTACTGGATATTGACTCTCTGAGTCGGAAATGTGGTACACAGTGTACAATAGATGGGATGCATTATGACGAGGCTGTTTATCAAGCTGCCGTTCATATTTTGCTGAATGCATTGCTTATTGAATCTCATCAGAAACTATGACAGAATAGTGTTGGTTCCTTTGGGGATCTCTGAGGCACCAAACTTCTTTGAGGACACAAAGGGGTTCTCAACAAATTAATTGCTTTTGATTCTTGCCAGAGATTACTTCCATCTCATATACATGATTTTTTCCAGGTTCTCCCTTTGGCTACAAATTAACTCAGTAGAGAAATTTTTGTTGTGGTGGTTACATTTCACGTTTCAATTTTTCCTTCTTTTTTCATATGTATGAATATCAAATGCTCACAACACTTGTATTCTATAGTTCATGTCTCGCATCCAATTTTGATGTGAACAGATACAAAAGTTCTGTATGAATATTTTGCTACATGTTTTGCAGTTTCATAGAAGCAATTGATATCTTGTTGAATTATGCCAATTTGGTTGATAGAGTTGCTTTTATAGAACTAGATTTAGAGATTGTGGAGCAATTCCAGCCCATATTGTTAAGTGGAAATGGGTCATATCCTTTCTGATATACGCTCGCGTGCATGTGTATTTACTTTCTTTTGTTTTCATTTTCTTTCAAGAAATTCGATGTTGTCCCTTTCAGAGTATAAGGACATCTACTTGTTCACTTGGTTTCCACAGGAATAGGTTTGTTTTGAGAGACATAAAAGATTATTTTACCTGTTAATGTCTATTTTTATCAGATACTATTATAAGGGGTACATGCATATTCTTTGGTCCTCTCGTTTGCATTGATTCAAAATTTTGATTTAACCAGCATTTTGTCGGTTTTGAAATGGGTTCAAAACTGTCCATTGCATTTATCCTGTTTGTAATCGATTTGTGAAGCCAAATCCTTCAGATGTTAGAGGTTCATCTTCAAACTGACCTGACAACTCGATATTAAATAAATAAATAAAAGAAGGAAAGAAAGAAAGAAAGATTTAAAGAAAAAAAAAAAAAAAAACTATATATAAAACATGTAAAAAAAAAAAAAAAAGTAGTTTAGCTATAGGGCTAGTTTCAGGTTGATAGGCCATAAGCTGTTAACTCTTAAGTGTTTGGCAGGTTCAACCTAGATTATGCTTCTAACATGCGCTTCTGTACTATATTTGCGGAAGTAGTATATAACAATAGCCCTGAGCTATAAAGATGAACAGATATTTGTTGATATATAACTCAGTACCTGACCTACCATGTGTTGCGTTGCTTTACGAAATATATGATAATAATGGACGAATAGACTGTTGAAGAAGTCAGATCAGCTTAATTCTGTTTAATGATTTATATATGTGAAAGTTATATCAAGATTCATTCTTATGCATCTATACGGCTCTGCACGAAGGTAGATGTGGGGTATTTCAATGTCTTTAAATTTACCATCCTGTTCTGTGAAGTTTCACCTGAGAAGATGGTACAGAGGGACAGCACCAAGCGCTTTCTCTTCTTTAGATATCTCATATAAGTATATGATTGTTCACTAGTTGTTGATGGTTTCACAAGGTAAGTTTTGGTTTTGAGTGTTATATTAAATATTTACGATAGAGAGGAAGGAGATTGGAAAGAAGTTTTTAGCTCTTTTTTCTTTTTCTTTTTTTTTTGATAAGTAGAAGTTTGTAGCTCTTTTCATGTTGATTTATGATGAAAAGCTAGATACTTTTTCCTGAGTGATTTGGGATCAGAGTATGGTGGACAGTTAAAAGCTTGTTAAGATATGATGATTTTAGGGAAAAAAAAAATATGGATGATAATCATGGTGGGACTGGAGGGGAGTATAAGGTAATAGGCAGATATGAACCGCTGCTCGACCTGTGGGGAACCTAAACAGGTGCAATGGTTAAGACAATAAGAAGTGTAATGATTATTTTAGTCAAATGTTGGAGAATTGATGATTTTAGGAATGGATAATGGAAATATGATGAAAGGACTCTAAGAAGCTAAAGGCAAGGGATAATGATTCTTAAACCTAATAGTCTAACCGAGGAGTCTAGCCAAGGTCGTCTTATCCATTAAATGCATTGGATAAGATCAAAATTTTCTGAATTGTCCAAAGACAGGAGATAAGTAAATTTGACTGGTTTGATGGGTTGTCGAATGGTGAATCAGTTGTGGGCTAAATGGACAGAACATTCTGAGAGAATATGATGAATATACATGTTGATGGAGAAGATTTGGGAGATCATAGTAGAGAAATTGATGTGGTGCTAGCTTTGAGGCTTATGTTTCTTGGGGCATTTAAGTGCTGGAATTTTTAGATTTCCAAGCCTTTTCTAGCTTTTCTTATTGGTCGCATATACTGTTGAAGTATGCTTAGCTTGTTGCAGCATCCTTTTTTTCCTGCAACAAGGCATGCATGCATTGAAGTCACAAAATGATATAAAAGGAGACATATTAAGCTTTGCTTTAATTTTTGGTATGATTTCTGGGAAAAATAATAATAAAACTTTGCTTTTAAAATTAATCATCATCATCCTTGCCATAACTTGCGTGAACAGGATCGGTCGAGTTATGCTTTTCTAATTGATTTATATTCCCTCTACATAACTCTATATCAATTAGAAGCTTTGCTCTTCTAATTGATATATATTTTTATGTAGTGAATATATGAGTCTAGTAGATTTATTATTTTCTGATAGTGAATACTAAGCATAGATTTTGATGTTGGACTAGGATGATCCTCCTTGTTCGAGGGGTCTTGTGCACCAAAACTACGCCGTTTTGGTGCACAGCACGGAGTCCAAAGCGGGTCACTTGGAGCCCCAACATGAGGTCCACGTTGGGTTCCGTGCCTGTGCACCAAAACGTCGTCGTTTAGGAGTGGAATTCAAATCCATGAGTTTGATGTTCTACCATTTGAAAGCTATAGATTTAAGTAATATATTCATGAATGGTGGGTAGCCTGGACATGGGAGGTTGACTATCCGTTGAGAGTTCCAGTCTCCAGGGTAATAGGGGACTGAATTTGACAAATTTTCCTCTGATTTTATGTCGTGTTTTCTACTCTTAACTCTCTGCGTTGGGCTCTATGATTGAATCAACTACCTAAATTTAATGACATTAATTAACTACAAGTACTATTTTTATGTTCTCTAATCAGTTTAGTTGAAATCCTTAATCTAGTATCTCTCTGCTTTGGGTCTAATGATTGAATCAACTACCTATATTTAATGACATTAATCAACTACCTATATTTAATGACATTAGTCAACTACTATTTTTATGTTCTGTGAACAGGTAGGTTAGAATCTTAATCTAGTGGTTTTTTGGTTCATATTGGTGAGACTTCTATTGTGACCTCCCCAATCAGTGGGGGGGAAAACTGCCTCCCCACAAGGGAATATTTGCAACTATGTAAACGTGTTTTGAAAAGACAATATCTATACCGTATGAGTCGAATCCCGAACATAATCTATCATCTTTAAATTACGTGTGTGCTCATGTTAAACAGAAGTAAAACATAAATTTTCTTCCATGAAAATAATAACGTGTGTGCTCATGTTAAACAGAAGTAAAACATAAATTTTCTTCCATGAAAATAATAAAACATTCTTTTTAAGTAATCCCTTTTTTTCTTTTTTCTTTTTTTTTTCTTTTGCCATACTCGGTCAATTGTTTTAGTAAATGAAATAAAGTTTAATATGAGATTAGAGAATGCACACACTTCACAAATTGTCTACTAGGGACTCGAACCTCTCACCTCCCCTTTGAAGAGGAGAGTGTATACCATTAGGTTCACCTCCCCTTTGAAGAGGAGAGTGTATACCATTAGGTTAATGGTCCATCACCTCTCTCCTTTGAGAGCAGTGGAGGTTATACCATCAGAAATTTTACATTCACAAAAAGAACGAAAAAAAACAGTGTAAATTCATTTGTGTAGTTCTCATCAATGATCTCCACAAAATTGGTTGAAGGCTCAGATTTGTTCTTGTCAATGAAGTGGAACTGAACTATTAAGGTACCTTGAAATGTATCGAAAATTCACCAAGTGTATAAATTAGCAAGAAGATTAAAAATGAGGGTTTATGGATGTCAAACATAAATAATTTCTTGGACATAATATACAAGAAAATAAGTAGAAAATTAGTATATGGAAATATAGTCACCACATAAATCATCAATACATAAAATTCAAATTTTCAGTACATCACACACTATAAAAATGCATGCATTGACAATATCAACATACTTATTCCATTGATCATCACTATTATATTACTAATAATAGTGATGATCAATGGAATACTTTTTACACCTCTTTGATAGTGACTAAAATACCACACAAACTATAAAAGGAACTGGTGCCTGGTGGTAACAAACATATCAACCCAATTAATAATGATGATACTTATCATCTCTGGATATTGAAATACTGGGCCCTCATGTCCTATATATATATATATATATATATATAATCTCAGTTGGAACAAGAAAGATTAACAACAGCTCATAACTTGGGTTTCATTAGTAAAAGGGTTTGTAACATGGGAACATCATTTAAAGCTACAATTTAGTTGCTTTGTTTACTTGTCAATAAACAATTTAAGTATGCTCTCCCATTGAATTTTAAATTGTTCAACCAAATCATTTGCAACCTAACATCTATTCATCCCTTCAAAAATACCCATCAACACATACACCTGCTTTCTAAACACAATAAAAAATATATTTTTTTGACAAAAAGTTTTTCTATCAACATTTTTTTTTTCTTGGTGTTGCTTATAAAGATTCAAATTGCTTGCCTTCAAAGGTTTGCCCAAAATCCCAATTTTTGGGAGCAACACTGTAAGATGTAAGTGTGACACCATCGCTGCTAGTGACCTCGAATGAGAGAGGTTGATTCTTCAAATCAGCATTTAAATGCCAGTTTTGGCCCCAATTCCTACCCATTGGAAGCCAACCTGTCTTCGAACCCTTAACCTTCACTGCCACTATGTCTCCAGCACCAGCAACATTGCTGATCAGCACCGACATGAATATTGTTGAACCGTTAATGGTAAACCGAATGCCTCCTTCCTTTCTGCATTTGATCCTGTCCAAAATCAAAAGCAAGTGGAATGAGATAAAAAATAGAGTTACTGGAACTTGTGCGGTACTCTCACAAATGCCAATTGGATAGAACAAAATAAAAGTAGATCATTAGCAAACATAAACCTAGTCTAGAAATTCATTTAACTTGGATAAAATATTAAGGAGCCGCATATCTAGGAAAAAAATGCAGGGGGAGCATCCAATTCATCATCATCGTCTTCATCATCCTTGCCTTTATGCCATACAAATGGGGTCGGCAAAGGAGGAGCATCTAAGTGAAGACTTTCATTTCTAAAGGTGACAGGTGAATTGGGGATGCAGTCATCTGTCATCATAATAAATTGGTTTCTTCCTCAATTACAAACCAGAAATGTTGCACTCAAATTTATGTCAATAGTACTCTAAGTTGTTCTCTCTTTTTGCATAATAGAGGCATAATATATACTAGGTATGATTAGTTAATTGAGAACGATGGCTTTAGAAAGCTTATGTCATGCTTCTTGGGGCTAAATTGGTCTTGGCCCTTTGGCAGAAATATTGAGTAGAGTGTCCGGTAAAAATCCTCCCCTCCCTCCTCTAGAAAAGTTGTCTGATAGGAAAGATTCCTCTGATATATCAATGAATGTCATGCTTTTTTTTCTTTCCCGGCACCTTGCATTGACACAAGTAACACTGGGTAATGCCTAATTACTGGAGAATAGTCTCCTTCATAAATAGAGCTTATAACGACAGCTACTTGCCATGGTCATAGTTTTGAAAGTTGATGGAATGAATTATCTAATCAGAGGATTGTGAGAGGAAAAGTCTTGAGGAAACCTGCAGAGCTTATATTAGCAGAGAAGATATGCTTATCAAGGAACTCATATATTGAGTTAAACCAGAAAAAATAAGTGGGAAATTGTTTTTAATGTAAGTTTTTCGCTAGGCACGCTGGAAAGGTATTTTGAGTCCTGGACAAAATGAGGGTTGACCTGGAATAATGATAGAGGAGAGTGGAAAAGTGAGCCTCTGACAAATTCTAGACATGACTACATGAGCCTTCGGTATAACATCCAGAATGGATGAAAAATTATGAAATCAAAGGCAGCAATGCGCACAAACAGAAGAAAATAACCGAGACAATTAATTGCATTGTCCTGATAATGGCATTCCCCCACTACCCTATTCTTCCACCGAATTAGAACATTATGGAAAAAATATATCTAGTTAATCGATAAAAGCCTGAAAAAATCAACCAACTAAAGAGGACCAAACAAGGCATCACACTGCAATATACAACAGCTTAGTTGGTGAGGTCTCTTGGATTCAGACCATGAAGGATGGGGTATTCTACCAGAACACAAATGTTGCTTATACAAGGTGGTGCCTTCCAAATGCCCACTCAAGGAAAAGAGGCACCCTAGAAGAAATGCCGCAATGATCCCGCAATAAAATGCTATTTCACTGCCCTAGATATATAATCTAGTATACATCCAAAAGGAGAGTATTAATGCCTGTACCTCTTTAGCAACTACACAGTAAAGGACGTTATTGACAGATCCAACTTACCTTACAGTTGCAATAAGGCAAGAAACTATCAATAAAATCCTGATCAAGCATTCATCCTGAATATTCATCTTCTGACACAGAAAGAAACTTCAGAACATGCTTGACAAGGCAGATATAAGGATTAAAATAGTTGAGTAGTCCAAAACATGTAATTACTCCTTGACACCTGCATCCATTTTAATGTTTCATCGTGTACAACAGTCCTGGAAACCTCAAAACTTGTTTTCCCGTTTCTGATTTTACAACTCCTTTAAATTCTAGCAAATTGAAACATTATCTTACTGGGCCACTCAGCATACTCTTCCACATAAGCATTCTTCTTAATCACAGTGCTGAACAAGTCGGTGAATCCTTCCATTTAAGGGGGTATATGTTCATGTATTGTATCACCCATTTAGAAAATCATAAAAACACATCCACAATAGCTTTCTAAACCACAACACCATAACTACCCCTTAACTCTGGAGGTCATCAGTCCATCACAAACATCCCAACAAACTATTTTATTGTTTTGAAGACCTTCAAATCCGCTTGCCGTTCCAACACAGCCCACCTCTTGGATCCTATGAATGAAATTCAAGTTAACAAGACGGCATTTGAATTCAACCGGCCCTAATATCCACCTAAAGAAGTTCTCATACAACTCTCAAACTTTAGACTCCTCGAAAATCAGAATGCATATCATGCCTCGAAATTTGATGGTGGGGTTGTTCTTTTCCTTATTCGATTTTATTTCTTAATTATTGTCTAATAATAAATTTTCAACTTAAAACATGAATAAAACCTTTTCCCGATATTTTCAGATTGCGTCAACATTGGTGGTGGACAAAGGCATTTGTCCTCAAACATGAACAGAGGTAGCATTGTCTATGAGATTGACGTTAAAAGTGGTTTAGAAGAAGTTTCAAACTGAGAGAATATTTCAATAAATCATTCGCACTTCCTAAAGGAACATTTCTTGATCAACCACACCCCAAGTTGATACGTAGCATGTACACCATTCAATCCTAGTGTTTACTTAAATCCAATGGAGAAAGATGTTGATATGGTAAACTTTAAAAGCAATATGCTAATGTTTTTTTTTTTTTTTTCAAGGCAAGAAGTGTTAGAAGTTAGATTAGTGAATGTAGAGAGTCAAAGTCTGGCACTCCAATCCAATGGAGAAAGATGTCGATATGGTAAACTTTAAAAGCAATATGCTAATGTTTTTTTTTTTTTTTTTCAAGGCAAAAATTGTTAAAAATTAGATTAGTGAATGCAGAGAGTCAAAGTCTGGACTATCACAATATGGGCAAGAATTGTTAGAAATTAGATTAGTGAATGCAGAGAGTCAAAGTCTGGACTATCACAATATGCTAATGTTTGACAGCTTAAGATATGCAACAAGCTGGACTGGTAGACTCCATCTACTTAATGCTGTCAAAGTACTTCATAGGCTTTAATTGTATACCTACCCCTTTGAAGTTTGAACAATGGAAGGAAAGTCATGCTCATGTGCCCATCAGCAACATGGGTCATCATGAGGCGTGTGTTAGCATCAAAGAATCTATACATGTGACGCCTAGTGGTTATGGACTTGGTGTGTGTGGTACCCTTTCCTTTTCTTTTCTTTTCTTCTTTTTTTTTTTTTTTTTTTTTTTGGGTGCATTGTCTCCAAAAATACCCAACCACCTAAAAAGAATTTGAACTTGAACCATAAACCTTCTACTGTGAAGGAGTCACACTGAGTTGCAACCCTCCGTTAAAAAAAAAAAAAAAAAAAAAAAAAAAAAAAAAAAACTTTTTTTCTTTGTAATTTCCTTTAAATCTGACAAAGAAAAACTCGAATTTGATGATACATTGACCTTCTACTTCAAAAAAATGAGGAAGTACAGAGTCACAAACTTACGACCCTAGGTAAAAACACGACCAGTTGAAAAAGTAGATAACATTTGAGGGTCGTTAAGTCTAGCTTCTTTGAAATTTCTCATAGTTAATGAGAAATTACTATTTTGCCTATATGTAGATTTTTTTGGGAACGAAATTGACACTTATTAATATTTGAGGCGTTAACCGACAGGGAAGGTCAGTGTGTAAGAGGAGATCCGTGCAATTTCGGTTCAGTGGGTCACTCTTTAACCTAAACATAAACCTAACAATCCTTTTTTTTTTTTTTTTTTTTCAAAACTAAATAAAAATAATAAAAAAAATTCTAGGGATTCTTGCATTCCAATAGTTGTACATAGTTTCAGTCTTTTAACAAAAAGTTAGGGATATTCTTGTCCACAAAGAACACCAAACACCTAGTATATGAATCAAATGACCAAATTAAAAAGAGATGGAGGTGGGGTACACGCTAGCACCAAAGCAAAGAACAAAGTGGAGAAGACAAAAACAATCAAACTGAAGAAATAGACACTGAGATTGAAGAAATAGACACTGAGATTGACAAGCATAAAATCAGTAATACACTAAGATTAACAAATGTGTGTCTATATACATATACACATATATAGAGAGAGAAAGAGATATAGAGAGAGAAAGAGTGTATACCTGCGATACTGTATAGGCATATTGCCAGCCTTCCAGATCGCAATCTTCTCGAATGCTTCGATCGGGAGGACGAAGTGGCTGTTAGGGGGATTACAGCGGCCGCCGCCGTCGGCAGTGAAACCGTAGTTGGGGACGCAGAAGTTGGTGGCGGTGACGATGATAGAGGTTCCCGGTATGCACCACCGGAGGTCCTCCACGCACCTCACCTGGAAGCACGCGCCGCAGATCTGGCCCCTCTCGAACAGGACGCTGCTCAGCCCCGCCGTCGCCAACCCGTACCCGCTCTTCACCAGGTCGCCGTACCCGCACGCGCCGCCCACCGCATCCCGGGGCTCCGCCGACGCGTAGTACGTCGCGCGCGCCGATCTCCACTCCGATGACGGAGCATTTGACTGCGACGCCGGCGGCGAGGATGAAGAGGAGAAGGAGGAAGAAGAGTAGTGGCCACTGACATTGATCAGTATAGTTGATGCTACTGTGAGAGCGAATATATGGAGCAGTAATAGATTTTGTAGATAAGCTGACATTTTTAGAGAGAGAAAGAGAAACGTGCAGAGAGAGGGAAACAGGGGAAGGAGGTGATAAACAGAAAGTTACAAAAGCATCGTTGATGGTTGTTCAGTGTGTACTACTTTTTTGAGTGTAGTTTAAAGTGGGAATAATTTTTGATTGTTTATTACTCTACATTGCTTTTACTTTTGTGATGCATGAAATTACTGAAATAGCCTGTCATGCGCAATAACGGTTGTATTTTGTCATTTTCTACTGTTTTCCTATTGTCAAAACAATCATTGGGCGTTAGTCACTCTGGTTTTCGTTTTTAGACCTCCAACTTTTATATCATTTGTAATGCCTCACTTCATCTTAGTAGTATGACATTGTCCGGTTTGGTTCGTGGCTTATACTATTTGTGTGATATTATATTCTTAGAGTCTAAGTCTACACGATTTTGTTTTTTAATTATATCTCGAAAAATATCGTATCGTTAGGAAATAGTTTCAGTACATATAAGCACCTCACATTTATATTTTTTTATGGTGGAATTGTGCAATCGGTAGGTGGTTCAGTACCTATTCACAACCTCACACGTCACATCCATCTACGTAGATCGCCACATATTAAGAGAAATCAGGAAATTGTTTTGAGATAATTATAAAAAACAGTTATTTAAAAACAAATTTTTTATTACTGATTGTTTATAATACAGAATTAAGCAAAAAAAATTATACAATTTAGAGTGACACCAAACGGACTTTGAGAATAACATTTTTATTTTGAATTAGTTAGTTGTTAAATTTTGATATTGCATTGTCTTAATAAATGCTTGTTGCATTCTAGAATTTGAAATCAATCTACAAAATTCATGATAAGTCTTAACTCAGTTCAATCCCTATACTATATGAGAATTATATTTATATATAGAAAGATTTATATTTATACGTGTGTAGCATGGAAGGTTTGCTCAATTGCAATTTAGCAAGACAAATGTACTAATGCTTCTGCAATCGTGGTTCACCATTTACTTCTGGATACAACCCAGCCCAATAGCCCAGCCCAATATTCGTGGACAGTGTCTGAATGATTAGCTCATATTAATTTCTGGCATGTTACATTCATCCTTTTTTGAAATTCTCACACTCGTTATTGCAAGTTGTTTTTATTATGAGGCTGCGATGTATACAATGTACACAAATTACCAGTAAAATTTGATCTGGAAAACTAATATACACCTCTATGGTATATAATTGTATATAATAATTCATAATAATAAAGAAAAAAAAATTAAAAAAAGAAAGAAAAAGAGGAGTAGATGTTAAGAAATTGAACTTTTAGATACTTGATACTTTCTAAGTGTCTAATTAGAATACATTACAATCAATGGGATAATATTTAGTTTCTAAAACTATCCATCTAAATATCTAGATTATACTTTATGAAATCTTCTTCATTCTACCAATTTCAAATTATTAGATACTCTAAAGTCTTCCACTTTTCTAGGACACTCCATATTTACTTATTATTTCTAATCAAAAAAGTATTTATACAAAAAAAAAAATACGTACCATATTTTATTAACTATCAGTCATACTATTAACATCACTCCTCACATACAGAGGATAAAGGAACAATACATTGATACTGATGCATTATGTCTAGTCCAATTATAAAAACTTACACCTTGAAATTTTCAAATTTGTTGGTAATGAAATTTCAATTTTGTATGAACAATGCTAATCTCTTAATTGAGATCTGAGTCCTTGAGGTTGTTCCATAATTCAATTCAGCACTTATGTTGAACAAATTACTTATCAAATTGACAATTTAATTATCACTTAAAATGATAGACGCCACTTAAAAATGAGTTAAAATTTTAAGTGACAGATATATCACTTATCACTAATGCTCTGTTCGATAGGAAAGAAAAAAATTGGATGAAGGAAAGAGAATAATGAATGGATGAGATTTAGGAAAGAGATGGTGTATTTCATTTTTTTTGCTCGATAAATAAAAGAGAAGATAATAACCTTATATAATTTCTTATGTTAGTTAAGAGAGAAGGAAAAATAAAATTTTAATTATTTTTATCATTTTATCCAATAATATTATAATTTTAAACTTATATAATTTTGGATAGTATTTAATTTAAAATTTATATAATAAAATAAAAAATATTTATTTTTTAATTATCACTTGAAGTACTTAATTTGTCAATTTTATCAAACAGCACACAAGTCATAATGTCCTAATTATCCAAGATTAGCTTTGTTTGATAGGAAGCAAGAAAGATATGTGGAAGAAAAATAGAAAGGAATAAACATACTTTCTTTATTCGGTAAAGATGGTACAAGGAAAGAAATGAAAATAGGAGGGATGTGTCATCTTTCTTCTTTACAAATTTTTATCTGTCAAAAAATGGGCGGAGGAAGAAAAGTAGACTATTATAGAAATTTTATAGTAAATATTATCATAAATTATACAAGTTATAAATTACAATACTATCCTATATGAATTACAATATTATAAATATTCCCGGACATAATAGTAAAAATAATTTAAAATTTTATGTTTCCTTATCTCATAACCACCTAATAAATTGTGAGGTTATTCTCTTCTCTTCCTTCCAACCGAATAAAAAGAAGGAAAGACATTATCTCTTCCCGTAAATATCTCATCCATTCCTTCTTCTCTTCTTTCCATCCAAATTTATTTTCTTTCTTTCCTACTAAATGGAGCAATATAAGAATGTTCATGCTTGAAAAGAATCATGGGATGCTGACTATGTGATCTATATACATCTCTCTGATTTAAAAAAAAAAAAAAAAAAAAAAAAAAAAAAAAAAAATCTATATATATATATCTCTATTAAAGACACTATTTTGGTAACCCAGTATTTTTTTTTTGGACACCCATGTCTTTTAAACGGGATGGATTCGAATTCAGGACGCTCGGAGTTTAAAATTAATATGCTTCAAAATATGGTAACCCAATATTAAATATATGAATTGTATTTGGTATGATTTTGAATCTTTTATCTAAAATAATTTGATTTGGGGTTTTATTTAGTTTACTTGTTAGTTGAATTTAAAATTTTTAAATCTATGATTGTGATTTGTTTCCATTCTCTTCATCTATAAACATGAACCCTCCTATAACTTAATAATTTTCGAACTCTTTTTATAAGCAAAGCATATATTCAGCTTTCATTTCAGTGCATTAACACAAGATCAATCTATATATTTTCAAGTCTTCTCCCGCGGCACATCAAAGTCGTTCTCAATGGAGCAGTCTTCACACATGGTTTGAATATCTGATTACAAATATTTCTGTCTCATTGATTAATTCTGTGTGCGTGTGTGTGTGTGTATATATATAGTTATATACACACACATAAAGGCATAAACACTTGTATTTATTAAAAAGTATATATATATATATATAATCTCCTTTGCTTGTGATTTTGCAGACTTGTGTTCTGAAAGTGAATGCAAGTTGTGACGCATGTAAGATGAAGATGATGGAAGTTTTGGGTTCCATTTGCGGTATATCTCCCTTATCTTGATTATTTTTCAATATTCTATGTATTGATATAACAATATAGTTAGGACTAATATTGTTAACAATATTGTTAATGTTCTGTGGGGAATTTTTATATTTTTTATTCACAATTTTTCACACAATACATAGAAAATGTACATATAATAAAGTGACATTTAGAGATTAAAACATAATTAACATTTTCAATGATGGAAAGAACAATATAATGATTTGGATAAATAACATGAATTCAAGATGCTACTATACAATATTAATTTGCATTTTTTACAATATGCATGTATCAATGGATATAACAATATTGTCTGAAATAATATTGTTCATGTAGTACTAATGAAGATTTATCATTAACTAGCGAGAAACCTAAACTTATATATCATGTCAGATGATCCATTTCACCAAGATTTTTTTTAGAGGCTATAGTAACCGAGGACATAGTCCGAACTTTACCTGTACATGATCTCCTCTTGTATTGTTTTGTAGGAGTGTATTCTGTCACCATAGATGCCAACGAAGGGACGGCAAGGGTTTCCGGGGAGGTAGATCCGAACGTTCTTCTTCATGCATTAGGGAGGACAGGGAGCCATGCAGAACTGGTATGGGTGAAGATGAAAAGTTCACCGCCGCCACGACCACCGGGCCGAGGTTACTACGACCACGGATATGATCCAACATATGGTTATAGATCAATAGAGCAACCCTACCACCAACAATACAGAAGAGCATTGCCTGAACACCATGGATGCTATGGTGGTACACACCATGATCACTACCCAATGAGAAGGCCAGCAATGCAGTATCCATATTATGGTTCCTATAGCTACTAATTAATTATGCGGTCGCTCTATAAGAAGTACAGACAGACACACTTATGGTTTTAAATTGAAACTAGTGTTTCAATTTTATTTGGTATTTGCAAATGTTAATAAGGGTATGAGTTGTGAACTTGAATCATAGTTTGAATTAATTATTTGTACGTGATTATTTATTATGTTGACATGCTAGGGCAGTTTTTGATGTCCCTTTGACATTATATGGCTTGCTAATATAAATTATTTCTTTTTTTTTAATTTTTTTTTGCTTTTGTTATATTAGATTTTACTTTGATTATTCATGCAATCTAGATATGCATTCATTGGATTTCAATTTTACTTTGGTATTGCAAATGTCATCCTTTGTGAAAATCTACTTTTGTGTGCTATCCATTTGGCTAATTGGCCTAGTTGTTCTCTTCAGTTCTTTCGAATATGAGCTCCAACTACACCAAACTTGTATGGCCTAGTTTTTCTCTTCATTTCTTTCGAATATAAGCTTTAACTACGCCAAACTTGTATGGGTGCTCAAGTCTCCTCCCCTAATTTGCCAAAAAAAAAAAGTATGGGTGTATGTGAGCATGTATGCGACTATGTAAGTTGTTTGGTGTGTTTATTAAGGAATTCGAAAATTTCAATTCACAACACACTTGTTGAAGATCATAACCTCAATTTGAGAGAAACTCATCTTTTCTCTAACCTTCAGGGAATGGCTTGGCTAGCTGCTCAACGTGCTCGTAGAGCTTGGGATTTGTTGTTGTCCTTCGTCAAAGCAGACGATCATCTGTTGCGTGCTTCACCAAGTGGCGTGGCTTAGGTTCACCCAAGGTTTTTATCGATTTGAAATAGCCATTACTCTCGCGGGCGCGCGGGGTTAAACACAAGGTTGATTGTTTCAAAACAAAATCCAAGGGTTTAAACGCATGACTTTCTTTCTATTTTTTTGTTCAATTGCTTGACTACTTTGAGATGCAAGTTAAGTCCATTTGTTGGTACTTTTAATTTGAATGAAATGGAGAAATAGTTGCTCAAAAATATGATTAATTTCCAATAACAAAAGATAATTATTTAAAAGAATTTGTCTTTATTTGAATTGTAGTAAAGTCGAACGACCATAGAAAATATTTACAATTATCTTTCTATACTTGTTGCATGTACTTTTATGGTAAGTTCCATATATACCAAGTCAAAGATTTCGTGTTGAGTGGAATCTCCATTTGTATTTTTGCCTCATTAAAAGTTTTGGATCAGGGTTCAAACTAAATTTGGGAGAACCCAATATATGTACGTTCAACCCAATTTGGGACTAACAATTTCATGATTGATTTGATTCTGTATAATTCAATTCAAGAATATCCTTGAACACACATGTCAAATCTAAAAAAAGTCAAAATAATAAATAATGATGATTATTAATAGGAAAATAATAATTTTGACGACATATATCTAGCGACTTAAAACCGACACAAGTAAAAAATCCACACAAGTACAAAACACTAACGTGGCTAACCACAAAATGTTCCTCTTGTTCCTCTGTCGCTGCATCGACGACCTAGTAATAGAGATCCATCATCTGCAGGCAAAATTGTCCCAAAATCTCAGAGATATATCTCAATTTATCTCTCATTGAAAAAAAAAAATTACAAGGCTGAAAATTCATGTTCTAAAGCAATTAAGGCTATAAAACTAAACTGAAAATAATTTTACCATCATCTCTTCCTTCTTCACATTCTTCGTTTTCTTAGCCTTATCGGAGATGAGTTTCAGTCCCAAATTTGGCCTCGCCTTCGTCGTCTCTAAATCTACCGCACCTGCCAGTGATCTCTCCGGCGAGTGCTCAATGTTTCCTCCAACACCACTATCTCGCCCCAATTCTCGCCGTCAAATTCGACACCGGCCGGAGCCCAAACAATCACATCAAAATCAACTTTAACAACATCGAATCGAAGGCAATTCTTGGATTGAATTTGGGTAACAAATGCTTGAATTGAATTTGAGATCTGTTAACATAATTAGATTATAGTTGTTGTATAGATTGTTATCATAGTTAGATTATATTATAGCCTTTGTATAAATTGTTACCATGATTATTGTATAGCCGTTGGTGATCTCTCACCTATTTATACCTCTCCTTGTACATGATTTATTTATACTTGATTATACAGAATATATTCAACACATATCTCTGTCACTCTCTTATATTCAACGTGGTATCAGAGCCATGCCTCTAATCCGCATCTGCACCATTTCAATTTTTTATTCCACCATTACGACTCATCTAATTTGAGTCAGAACCTCTATCTATCTCTCTCTCTGTAAACTACAAAATCTGTAAGAATCAAAAGTTCAAAACCCATTATCTAGATTGTGATACCACTTGATTCTAGATCCACGGGTGATCAAGTTCGAGCACAGATCCGAGAGATATCAGACAATTAATATGTAAATAAGCAAGAGTACAAAAGAATTAAAAATAAAATAATACGCTGAAAAGAATTCTAAATATAAAAATCCTCTAAAATTTAATCTTCCAATCCGTATAACTCGAGAATCTATCTAGTGGACCCTTAATAATCCCAAATAAAAATAAATTACCGAACCAACATCCAAACTATAATATGAAAGGAAGTCCTACGTAGTCAGAAGAGTGAGTAATTGTATCTGCATCATCACGATCAAGCTCTAAGCCTGGTACTGACGAACACCTGAAAAATAAGAGTGGGTCAGGCCCACATGCAAGTTCCATCCTAGTACAATACATACATAAACTCGATACGTTAATACATCCTAGATAGTTCGGCAATAACTAAAATAGTCCATATAGATATAGATACACATTATAGGACGCTCACTAGCCTATAGTGTAGTTCAGCCTGAATAGAAAGTAACATGTAAATCACACATTACGGTGTGTGTTGACCTTAAGGATTTCATCCAATGACAATCTAGATGTTTTGATGATAACAAACCATTAATGGTGTTTATGGACTAATGTTCACATTGAGTGTTGTAGATGATTCACATTTAAAGAAGAACCTCAATGAAGATCATAAAGACCATTACAAGTATTCTATTACTCAAGATCACATCTATGGAAAGTAAAGGAGTCAAAGGAACTTGAAGTTGCAAGGAACCAAATGCAAAGTCCATCCAAAGATAACTTGGACTACAATGAGCAAGAAAGCAACTCAAAGAAAGGAAGAAAGCGAGTCTACCTAAAAGCCTACACGATCATGGACAAAGCATGAAGAAAGGGGTAGATAGGATGGTGAGTGTTTAGGATTCAATGTCAAAGTATTTATGAATCTATTTGAAGCTCATCTTTATAGGATCATGCATATCATCATTATCATTCATATATTTATTAGCAATAGACTATGAACTTCATTACATATGACATGTGGAGTCTTTACTAAAGAATGAGTTAGTTCAAGCTTGTTTAAGCATTGAAAGAACTCATCACTTAAGCTAGAAATTCAAGGACCATGCACATTAATCATAATATTTATTTTGGTCTCTAGAAAGAAAAGGAAAATGCATTGAAATTCATTTTTCAACTTTAAAGCCTTTGTTGCCATAATTTGGTAAATATCTCTAGGACATAATGCACATGAAATTTATCATCTTCATATGTCCCTAGACTCTTAGAAATTGGACTTGAACTGAATTGAAACATTCATCAAAGTCCTAGGTGCTAGAAAGATGGATATTTTATAAGAAGCAATTTTCAGCCCAGAAAATTTCCAGACCAGCCTTTACTAAAACTGCTATAACTATTTTTATAGTTAGAATTTTTAAGTAAGGTCAGTGGCATTGGAAAGCTGACTTTGAGCCCTTGAATTTAGACTCAAATTTCACCTAAAAAGGATTTGAATTGAGTAAGATATAACCATCACAAGGTGGCTGATCCTGGTCTGCGAGATTTCTGACCAGGTTGCACTAAAACGGCTATAACCATTTCGGTGGTTGGAATTTTTGAGTAAAGCTGAAGGCATTAGAAAGATGACTTTAAGGCAATGAATTTAGACTTAAATTTCACCTCATTTGGAGTTAAATGGACCGAGTTATGTCCATTTGAAGTTATGCTCTTTTATGTCCAATAGCAAAATTTCAAGAGGAAGCTTGTTCATGTCGACGCCTACTAAGCTCATGTCAACCGGTATCTAGACAGTAGCAAATTTCAATTTGAAGCTTATTTATGTCGACTGGTTTGCACATACATCAACTGGTTTATGAAGAAGATGTCAACTGGTTTGCAAATACATCAACTGGTTTATGTAGTAGATGTCAACCGGTTTGGAACATACATCAACCGGTTCAGGCCAAGATGTCAACCGGTTTATCCACATGTTAACCGGTTTGGTCACAGATCTGCAGATTCAAACTGTAACGGCTCTATTCTACTCGACCCTTGTGCATTCCACTCCCAACAGCTATATTGAGCTTGGAAACTCTATAAACAGAGTGGGGAATGTCTTAATAACTAAGAAACATCATTTGAAAGATATTATATTGCATTAAAGAGAGCTTTTGTTCTCCAATCTTCTCTTCATCTCTCTCATTCACTCTTATTCTATCTTGAGAGATTCTAGCAAAGATTAAAAGGGTTTTTGCTCTTGCTTTAATCTTCATAGAGTTTTTGCTCTATTATTCACTTGAGAGATTATAAAAGCTTACATTCTTCACTTATATCATCTTCTCTCATTCATATCATTTATAGAGTTTGAGCTTCACTTATATTCATATATACTCTAGTTGAGAGCTAAAGTTTGTACATCAATCTTTGAGAGATATTTCTTGTGAGCTTGCACTTGTATATCTTTCTTGAGAGAGATTCAATCTTGTATTTCAATTACAATCTTTTCTACAAACTTGTAAGGGTTGGTGTGACCTAAAAGAAGCCTACGAGAAGGGTGTTCTCCTAGCAAGGAAAAAAAGCAAGGTCTTGCTTCATGTAAAGGTTTGCTCTCCACCTGTAAGGAGAAGCTATATTGGATTGGGAAGTCTCAAGAGGG